ATAATACGTCTCTCTTACAAAAATGAAAATATATGTATGGAAGTTTTAGTTTTAAAAAAGAAAATGAATAGATAGTATTTGTTTTTTTCTCATACCAAACAAGATATCAACTCGATTTTTTTTATTTTTTTGGATCAAACTCGATTTTTTTTCTCTTTCTTTCAGATAATAAAAGGAATTGAGTGTCCCATTAGATCCGTTCTGCCATAGGCTGGAAGTTCAACAGAGCGTATTTGGTCAACGAGAAGAAAATAAATTTGGGAGTTTTTATAACGATTTCTGACATAAGCTTTTGACCGTCTATACCGAGAAGATGACTTTTAATGCTACTGGGATTGGGAACATATGCTACCGAGAAAGATTGTTACATACAAGCACTATCTAGGCTAATCGCCAAAGAAAGTTTATTTTCATATTTTGAATTATATAGCTTAGAAGAAAAATGCTTAGGGCATGCTTTGCTAAATTGTCTGCCACCACATTATGCAAACGAGTTCACAGTTGGGTACATTAAAATACCATAGGTTACTTCGTCAAATAAGAAATATATGAAACGCAAGTATTTTTCATTAGATATAAAAATACACTCTAATTATAAATAAAATTAATCAGTGAACTGAGTAATCCAACATGTATATGGTCGTAATTTTGATTATACTAATTCTTCTTCTTATCGAATAGACAAAAACTAAAAAAAATAATATATGGTGTTGCAATATATTTATATTTAATATCTTTTGGGAGCTTCTCTACCAAGACAAAAAAGTTAGACACATGAATGATATGACTGATGACAACATGACTAAAGAAACCACTCGTGGCAAACAATCATACTGTGCCTAAACTTTTGGCAGATGAGAGCATATCAATTTCTATCGTGTTGTGTTAATGATGCAGCCATGAATTTTTACAGACTTATGTTAGATGCTATGATGTAATCTTGGATAAATATAGGTGGTTCACTAAGTCTTTGTGTTTTTTTCTTAAATAAATTAGGGTTGTGTTTTGCCAAAAAAACTAAATATTGGAGTTTTTTGTTATAAAATTTACAATATATAAAAGTTTTTTTTTTAATAAAAATTGGAACTCAACGCAAGATCCACATACGACCTTAGCCGAGCCGGTTAGCAATGCCAGTCCAATGAATGTAAGGACCAGAGCTAAAAAAATTGAGGGCCGAGATAAGTAATATTTTGCAGGGCAAAAAGTTCGAACTTCCTATTTTTGAACTATTTAACGCCACCATTATCGTTACATTATAGACAAACCGTTGTTTATTTTTGGCTGGTATAATACATATAATTTTTGGACCGGAAGTTCTAGCTTATAATATTTGGTGTCTGAATTGCTACTGCCTGTCAGTTTTTCTCTATCAATAGTCAATAAATCGTTAAACAGTAACTAGACACTTTGTGTATAGAATTAATGATTAAACGGATTATTCAGAACCTAAATGATAACGAATTATTAATTTATTTTTTATATACATTACATTATCTTGGTTTAGTAATAAATTGTTTTGATGCACTAGAAGAATTAGATATATAAAAAATAGATCAATTATGGATTTATACTAATATTATTTTTTGATTTAACTGATTTAAATCAATTTAGAATGATTTAGATCGGGTTTAACCCATTTAAAACTGTTTAAACCTAATTGAGTTATATTTTTGTGTATACAGATCATATTTTGTATATTGGATATAGACCCTATTTTGTATTACATATTGATTTAAACACCACCTAGACAAAATGTAGATATATAAAAAATAAATTTAGTAAGCAGGAAAAAAATAAGAATTTAAACTAAAATTCTTTTATTTTGGTAAAAATAAACTAAACCAATAATATTAGTAGGTTTCTAAATCCGACCATTACGCATAGGGCATATCTTATCCAACTACCTCATATCCAACTTAACGCAAACATCATAATGTCGGGTTCTATTGCGTTTGTTACCATCCATAAAATATGTCTTTCCTACATCTATAGTTTTTAATAGAAGATAGATTAATATCAAAATATCTTCACTAAACTCAAAATGTGTCTATTAGTTTTCGCCTTCTCGTTTATCTTTCTTTATTTTTAGTTAAAAGCGATATTTTTATGGTCGATCTCTGGATTTTTGATAACCTCATGGACTTTTACCAAACGGACTCTGACGTTTTGGGCCTGTGGTTTCAGAATATAATTTTTGTCCCATGCACAGGTTCCCTGCTAAAACGTGATTCTATATTCAAATTACACTATATGAAAGTTTTCACATTTGATTTAATCTGTAACGTTTTTAACACATCAAAAGAGATTCTTTAAAAAAAAAAGAAAGAAAGAAGAAAAGCTCATTTATGCTATGTCGAGCAGCAACCCGATTTTTTGACGGCTGAAACATCATCTCTGCTTCCAACATGTATCATTTGTCCTTTAGGCAAAGCAGTGGTTGGGTCATCTCCAGCTTCGAGAGCCTTCTTGCTAACGACTCTGTAAATCTGAGTGAGAACCTCTGTAAAAGCGTTTTCGACATTTAGAGCTTCGAGTGCTGAAGTCTCCATGAAGAAAGTGTTCTCTCTTTCTGCAAAAGCTTTCACTTCATCCGTTGAGATGGCTCGAAGGTGACGCAGATCAGCTTTGTTACCTACGAGCATGATCACAGTGTTTGCGTCCGTGTGGCCCCTTAGCTCATTTAACCATCTCTCAACGTTTTCGAATGTTACGTGCCGTGTTACGTCGTAGACCAGTAAGGCACCAACAGCTCCTCGGTAATAAGCGTTCGTGATGGCTCGATACCTAATTGGAAATACTGACTACGATTTATGCAACATATACTCAAGACAAAAAGTTGGCAATAAATTGATATTGTAGCTGAATAATTCGGGTTTGGTTTATATTCATTTTTGGTTAATCGGTTTTAAAAAAACTGGACTTAAATAAATCCCATTTTATAGCGTGGGTTGATGTAATTTATATTTTGGTTTGGATAAGTTCAGTTTGGTATTTATAAAATTAATGATGTTTTAGTTTTAGGGGGGTGTTATTCTATTAGTGATTTCAAATCAATTTAAAATATTTTACAATCTATCAAATTTTTAATTTTAAGATTGTTAAAATTGATGGATTCTAAAATATCTGCAATACCTCCTGAATTTTGAGTTTAATCATTTATTCATTCGAATCCATCACTGATGATTTGAAATCCATTTATATTACAAAGAATTTTAAAATCCTTAAAAGTTGAATAACACATGATTTTAAAACCTGAAATTCAATAATAAATTGAATAACTCTGAATTTTAAAATAGAATTTAGAATCATCAATCGAATAATAGTGGATTGTGTTTAGATTTAAACTCTTTTAAAATACATGATTGAATAACACCATCTATATTTTTTTCAATGAAACAAAATTAATATTATGTATTCCGGGGGTATGAGGAAATTACAAGTTTCGACTCAAACCCTGTGATAATAAAAGAACTATATATACAAAGTGTTCTAAGATTTTTTTTTTTTGGTAAACATAAGTATTCTAAGATATATATATATATATATATATATATATATATATAAATGAAAAATTTACACTCTATATAAATTAAGAATTAGATGTAGAATTAATTTTTGTAATAATTCTGATGAAATATAGAATAAACCCTGTGATAACCGATGTTATGATATACATACAAAATATTCTAAGGAATATAGAATAAGTTTGTAATTATTATTAGCTAGGTTTAAGCATTTGAATTTACATCTTCTTGATTACCTCTCTTGGCCGGCAGTATCCCATATTTGAGCTTTGACAATCTTGTCATCGACTTGAATGCTTCGTGTGGCGAACTCTACGCCGATGGTCGAGCGTGAGTCGTGGCTAAAGTCGTTTTTGGTGAATCGGGAGAGCAGATTTGATTTCCCGACGCCTGAATCTCCTGTTAAAACAACTTTGAACAGGTAATCATAATCGTCTTCAGATTTATAAGTTCCCATGTTTGTTCGATACCCTTTTGTCTATATGACGTTTTTCTAGGACAATCTATAGATATTTGGCTGTTCCAAAGAAGTTTGGATGACAAGGAAACTTAACACGACCTCTTCAAATGGCTATTTTGGATTTTTTTCTTAATTTTCTTAATTTATTTTTTATTTAACGTTTCCTGAATTGGAGCAGAGACCAATGTTTACAAATGTTGAATTTAAGATTGAGACTGAGAGGATTCAGAGAATCAAGGATTCTCCCCCATTTTACTCGTCATCTTAGTTTTGGGATACTCTCTATATAGATATATATCAAGATTGATCTTGCGATATACTATAAATTTTCGTGTGATGATCTTTGCTTGGGCTTTTTACTATAGTTTTTTTGTCTCTAAAAACGAGTGAAAATCATGTTTTTGACTAAACTGAAATATAATATTTACTAATTAATTATTATTTATTTATTGGGTGAGTGAACCAAATTAAGATGGTTTCACGTTCAAAAGAGTCTTGTAGGATACTTTGAGATGCCTCCATCGCATGTCCCGCATAGCAAATTTTGTTCTAATATTTCAAATGAAAGCCTAAGTAGAGTAACATTTTTACGATTGTCGCAACACAGGGCATTTGGTCTAGTGGTATGATTCTCGCTTAGGGTGCGAGAGGTCCCGAGTTCAATTCTCGGAATGCCCCTCTGAATTTTTTAGTAGCAATGCATGTTCTGAATGCCAGCTCAATCCTAACTTCGTAACAGCGAATACCTTTAGCTTTCAGGATTCAGACTAGTCTACTGCTCACCTTTTGTAATATTCACCAACCAGTATAATGCAACGCCATTATATGCTGCCTGAAAATGAAAACAATAGCAAATCCCATGCAAAGTTAAACAAGTTTCCAGCCGAAAAAAGGAGGTAGGTATAGATAAGTTGCTTTGACTTCACGTTGCATAACAGTTGGTTGTAAAATTGTCGTTTACACACGTGGTGTCGGTTTCAATTCTTGGATTCACCTGTTTAGAAATTATTGATTTAAGACTCTGAATAAAACAAGTAAACCATTTAAGACCACAGAAAGTTGAAAAACGCTAAAGAAGATAAAACACCAAACAAACACTTTCTGTAGAGTCATGGACACGCCGGAGACCAAACCGCACGTCATGGTGTTTCCTTTCCCAGCACAAGGCCACTTACTTCCTTTACTAGACTTAACTCACCAACTCTGTCTTCGTGGAGTCAACGTCTCCGTCATCATCACTCCCCAAAACCTCCAATACCTCTCTCCTCTCCTCTCAGCTCATCCCTCCTCCGTAACCTCCGTCGTCTTCCCTTTCCCTCCTCATCCTTCTCTCCCTCCTGGCGTCGAAAACGTTAAAGACATCGGAAACTCTGGTAACCTCCCAATCATGGCCTCCCTTCGTCAGCTCCGTGACCCTATCACCCTCTGGTTCCGTTCTCACCAAACTCCTCCTCCCGTTGCTCTCATCTCTGACTTCTTCCTTGGATGGACACAAGATCTTTGCCACCAGATCGGTATCCCTCGCTTCGCCTTCTTCTCCTCTGGTCCTTTCTTGGCTTCAGTTCTTCAATTCTGCTTCGATAATGTGAAATCAAGAACGTTGGAACCGGTTCGTTTCTATGATCTTCCTCGTGCTCCTGTTTTCGAGGAGGAGCATCTTCCGTCGGTGTTTCGACGCTCGTTGCAATCGCCGTCGCCGGATCTTGAAACCCTTAAAGCTGAATACTCGATGAATTTTTTGAGCTACGGTTGCGTTTTCAACACGGCAGAGTGTTTGGAAGCAGAGTATTTGGAGTATGTGAAAAAAAGAGTTGGTCATGACCGGGTTTACGGAGTTGGGCCGCTTTGTCTACTCGGTTTAGACCCGGTTAGTACGGTTAAATCCAGTTCTTGTCCGTTGCTGAGTTGGCTAGACGGTTGTCCGGGACGGTCAGTGTTGTACATATGTTTCGGAAGTCAAAAGGCGTTGACCAATGATCAGTGTGATGCTCTAGCACTTGGACTTGAAAAAAGCATGACCCGGTTTGTATGGGTGGTTAAGAAAGATCCGGTACCCGAAGATTTCGAGGAACGGGTTGCTGGTCGGGGGATGGTTATAAGAGGGTGGGCTCCGCAGCTTGAGGCTTTGCGACACGTGGCGGTTGGAGGGTTTTTGAGCCACTGTGGATGGAACTCGGTGCTTGAAGGGCTAACGAGTGGAACCATGATTTTGGGATGGCCAATGGAGGCTGACCAGTTTGTGAACGCGAGGTTGTTGGTGGAGGATTTGGATGTGGCGGTTCGGGTTTGTGAAGGGGGTGGAACAGTGCCTGACCCGGATGAACTTGGCCGGGTTATAGGTGAAACAATGGGTGAAAGTGGACGTGAGGTAAGAGCTAGGGTGGAGGAGATGCAACGGAAGTTAGTGGGATCAGTGACAGAAGGTAGCTCTTTTGCTGATTTAGAAAGACTGGTTAGAGATATTGCTCTTATTTAAGATTCGGTGTCGAGAGAAAATAAATAAATTTTTATTGTAAAGAAGCAAATGGTCAAATATTCAGAAGAAGCAAATGATCATTTTGCAAAAGAAAAGAAGAATGATTTGTGTATTCATATATGTTCCATTATATTTCGGTCGGATCATAGTTTCTGTTACATATTTTGCCTTTCAGACTGTACACCATGAGTGAAGATACCTCAATGTGACAACTGCTTGCTTCTTCACTGGTTGTTTTTCAGTTAACAATTTTGCTCTAGCAAATTCCTTTTAGTAGCCGTAACATTTTCCTAGCCTGTGTGAGAAAAAAATAACAAAAACTAAGATGCTGGTTATTTATAAATGAACACAAAAACCACAACAAAAAAAATCTATGAACTCTGCTCAATGCACCTTATAGGCTTTGAAAGCAGTCTGAAGATCGTTTACTGTTCTTCTTGGAAGCTTTTGAGTTTATAAGTCCCTGTCACAAAGAAGGACAAGTGAACACTAATTGTAATCTGCATTGATGATCACACCAAGTTTGGGAGGCAGTTCCCCTGTTCAGAGCGATCCACATCGTCTCAGACAACACCTTCCAGGAGGCGATGGTTAAGTTCAGAAGTGCAATTTGTCTACCACCGGTGGGTCTCCCCTATAACATTTTGCCATGGATTCTGTGGGCAATTTGGACTGCTAGAAACAACCTCCTGTTTGAAAACAGACACCAATCAGCGAATGACACAGCAAGGAAAGGGTTGATTTTGGCAAAGGAATGGGCAAAAGCATTGGAAAAAACAGGGATCAAAGAATCTATACCTTCGACACTGCCAAATCGAACCAGTATAGTAAGGAACCCTCTGGATGTTTCTCTCCGGGACACAAACCACACAGTTTGTATGACAGACGCTGCGTGGAACGAGAGCACATCAATCGCAGGTTTCGGATGGGTCTTCTCAGGAGCAAATCTGGAACTCCCGATCTGCGAATCGATGGTGGAATGCTGTATTTCCTCCCCCTTGTAGCGGAAGCCAAAGCGTTGCGATCTGCCCTTTGTGCGGCACTAACTAGGGACCTCGAGAACCTAAGGGTTTTCTCCGACTCACGAACGCTCATCAGAGCTATTTCAGGCAACACTCAGTTCAAGGAAATCATCGGTATTGTGAAAGACATCCGATCGATCTCTTCTGAGTTTGCATCTATCTCTTTTTCGCATGTTCATCGTTCTGGCAATGTTGTGGCCGACGATCTAGCTAAAGTGGCCCTTCAGGCCCACCTTTCTTTGTTGTCAAACTCTGGTGTTGGGCTCCTCTAGGCCATCTCCTCTCTTTTAATTTCTAATGCATTTTTCAGTGACAAAAAAAAAAGATCACACCAATGTAAAAAACAACATACCTTCTCGCTCTTGCTGCTTGTTTGTTTCCATTTCTTTGAATCAATTATTGCTTTGAAAAAATTCCCAGAACCCATCTTAGACTCTTGTCACTTGTCACCAAAACACCTTGTATGTATGCAAAAATGCTGCTTTAGCCCTGAGATGGAAGATCTATTAAGATAATTACAAGTATTCTTGTAACTACACTACTATACAGCTAAGAGCAATATACCAAGATTAGAGAACATACCTAGAAAGAAGCTCAAAAAAATCCTGAGTTCAAGGCCGAAGACAGAGATTTTGTGGACTGAATGATTAGAAGTTTTTTTTTTCTCGGTGGCTGTAGTAAGGAAGACGTAATAGAAAAGAGTTATAAAACGGCGTCATAATTCCTGAAAAATATTATCATAAGGCTGGGAATCAATTTTTTTTTTTTTTTGGAATCAAATTATAATCAGTGATTGTTGCTAAATCAAAATCACCAACCAACAGTCTTAATAATGTTAAAAAAAAAATTAATACTACTAACTAGGATATAAGATCCGTCAGGTTGGACTGTGTTTTACTTTTATCACGTTGTCTTACCGTCTCTTTAAAGCTACCAAAAGGTCAAAAACAATATTTTCACCAAGAGGTCCTAAGTTCATTCATGACCCTGTTTCGAATTTCCGTGACTCGCAAGTACACCTCTAAACTTAAAAGTTGAAAAGCAGTGACATTAATCACCATATACCAAACGTGGAGACTTTAAAAACTGAAAACAAAAATCAAAAATCAAACTAGGGGGCATATAGGTATCAAATAGTTTCTCAAAGTGGTTGTTTTAATTACCAATGATTAACAAGAAAAGGAATGGTTAGCAGTCTTCTTTGACTTCGGCTGAGGGGTGCGAAGTATTCATAGTCAATTGATTGCAACTACCAGTTTTAACCATCTACAGTCAGGATACAAAATTAAATAATAAATCGTGTTATAGAAAGTATCAATTTTTTTGCGATTATTAGAAAAAAAAATTGTGGTTTGCCCAACAAAGAAAAAAAAGAAAATTTTGTGGACTCTCAGCAGCTCATCCACCAGGACAATCACATCTGTGGGTTGTGAACGATGTTTTATTGTTTTGAGTTTAGGTCATATGTACATATGCTATATTTGGGTTCTTTTGTTCATACGGCTTTTCTACACAGCCAGTTTTAGCCTGTTATTGTTGATGATTCTTTGGGTTCTTATGGTTCTTTTAGTTTTTCCAATTGTTTTCTGATTTTCTTTAAATAAACACAAAATTAAATCATTGGTGTCCTTTATATTTAATTTATATCGTTGTTTTATGTAAAAGTCATCGTAAATTATTTTAAACTTTAACTCTAATTTGGAAACACTAAACAATGTGACTAAGGAATAGATAAAAAAACATGTTTTTTTTGGCTATAAAAACATGTCAATTGGGTGGTTAAACTATTATATTTTCAAAAGACAGTTGTAGCTCCAGAACTCTAGTTGGCTTATGAATTTTCCTTTGCCCAAAAAAAAACTATTAGGTAATTTATTTTGGTTGCATCTTTCACAAGTATAAGGGTACTTCATCCTTAACTCTAACAATTTTTATCATCAGTTGTTTGAAAAATATTACTTTGCAAATCAGAAATTTACCAAAGATCTTAACTTCTTGTTATAGAAGTTAACTTCAACCAACAGTGAACTCGACCTTATCATTTTCTCAAGCTTTTTAAATTATTCAAATATTTCTTAAACATATATGAGGGGGCAGAAACTCCAAACTAACATCTAAAACCACTACTATTGATTTTCTTTAATCTTTATGTCTTTTTACACATATAAATAGTAGACCATTTAACGTTTTTTTCTACAACTTGTATGTATAGTATTTTTATTTCTAAACAAAATTTCATCGATTCCCACAAGCAGCAAAATTAAAAGTAAACTAATCCTACTTGTTGTGCACTAATTCAAATCAACCCTGTTCTGTTATTCAACTGATAATATGTTAATATATCATATTATCAAGTTCATCACAGGTGATCGTATTTCAACTCTTAATCAAAATATATTCAAAGAGAATGTCAACTCTCAATTATCCTTATATTAGAAGGATACATGTACTTGTTAATTTTGTATCATTATTAACTTCTGAGAACCATTTTTTATAGAACAAAGAGAAGATGGGATTCAACGACCCTTCGTTAAACACCATCATCCTTTGGTTCGCCGCCGTAACGTCTCTCTTGACTATCTTTGTTATTTTCACCCTTTTCGTTATCTTTTTGGTCAAACGCCGTAGGTTTGTGGATGTATTACCGGAGACAGAAGATGAGCACCACCGCAGAAGAGAACCACAGGGAGAAGGGCTTAGCGCTTCCGTGATTGCTTCCTTTCCGAGCTTTTCTTACAAACCGGACAATAACGATCTCGAGAGCAACAATCAGGAGATGGAGTGTCCGGTTTGCTTAGGGTTAATCCCCAAGGATGCTGTAATTAAGGTTTTACCAAATTGTAAGCACATGTTTGATGAGGAATGTATTGGTAGGTGGCTTGTATCGCACACAACTTGTCCTGTGTGTCGTACAATGGCTAAGCCGGTGGCTAGCACTAGTGAGGATAAGGTTTTAGAAAGTATAGTATAGTTGATGGTTAATTTTATATGTCAGTTATATGTTTTTTTCTCTTGCTAATTGTAAATTGTAATATTTCTTATTAATATCAAAATGTACAAATGCTATACTCAGCATGAGCAGAGACGTATACTACTTGAATCTATCGATTAATTGAGTCAATTTATCGAGAAGTTATACATAGCTCGTGTTCGGTTCGTTGTATCATATATACTATCTTAGATGGAAGAGTAGAAAAGGAAAATAGTTTTTGTTTTGGGTTTTATGGTCAATATATCAAAACCAAAGAATATTCTTTCAGAGGATTTTATTTTATTATTAGGAGGAACAGTGTAAACTTACATATTGCCACGTTCGAGTTCTGAATATTAATCAAGTTTGTTATTAAACAGTTTTTGACCTACAATTGTACATGCCTTATTCATCAATATCCTCTAAATATACTCTAGTACGTCATGAAGCGCGATGACAGTCGCTCGATATACTTATCTTAATACAAAGTCAAATCTTCTAAGGTATGCAACTACACATATTTTTTTGTTAGTCCAAGACGTTGGCCCAAAAGAGTAATGCATACAATGATACAAAGGCATATATTCCTAATGAACCAAAATAAATTACATTATTTTTATGTTTAAATTATATTTCCGAAAGAAATGACAACATATTTTTTGAGAAAAGGCATTCATAAAATAAAATCCTCTGTAAATATTCTTTTGGCTAACCAGAAGTCAAATGACAACATCTGATCAGTTTACAATAAGTTTTACTCATGAGTGTTATTTCTTTCCAATTAAAAAAAAGTTTGTTAACTTTAAACGAATATGTCTTGATCGTATTTTATAATTTGGTATTTTTTTTATATTTTTTTACATTTTTCTTACTAATTTAGATTAGGTCGACAATTCTGTTGTCTCGATATAAACCTGTGTACCTAAATAAGAAAGGATTTGTCTCCTTATACTTTTGTCCTTATATACTTTTGTTTTTATAAATACGAAATTAACACTATAATTAAACAGAAAGCATACTTTTATTAACCATAAATATTAACAATATTTCTGTTTGTTATTCTTCATTAAAAAACCTACAATTAAGAATGTTCGTCCAATGTTTACTCTGTTCCATTTAGGGATGGAACTGATTAGAATATCCAAAAAATTTTGAGTTTCAGATATCCATCTACATATTATATTATCCATATACATTTTTGGATCCGGACACTGATCCGTAAAAAAAAAAAAAACCTTTAAAAATACTAAAATATTAAAAATAATACAAAATTAAATATTTATCAATGTTTAGAAAAAGAAAACACATAAAACATATTATAAAAATTATTTATTTATAGATATTAATATATTAAAATAGTTATTGATAAAATTTAAAATTAATATGTTTAAAAAATTTGGATTTGGATATCATGACAATTTCAAGAAATCCGAGATTTTTATATTTGGATCTAAATCCGGACACACCCAAATATCATATTTTCATAGTAGAGCCGGAGCAGATCCGGATCCAACATAATAATTTCGCCCCTAATCCCGCCTCTTCACAATCCCGGATAGACCAAGCTGATTCTTCGGCGATCTCTGCAACGTTCTCACCGGTTCTCTTCGGCGTTCTCTCTGCCGGATACCACAACTCCTTCTTCGTTTAGGTTTTTGACAAGATCCGATAAAAACAGAAAGAAAAATCTCGAATTTGCATTAACATTTCACAAAATATAATTGAGATATATGCTTATTGATTGTTCTGATATTCTGTAGTACGTATGCATATGATATTTTTAACTCTTGGAGATTTTTTTATATTCTTAATCTGAGAGGGCCACATCATCATAATCTAACTCACACATAATCTAATATGTATGTAGACGGACATACGCAAGGAGTGACATAGCAAAGTATTTGCAAGAACTGCATTAATTATTTGATATTTCTTCAAAGATGAGCTCACAAACATACAATACAACCAAATTGAACAATTAAAATGTGTGAAAGCAACAAAACACCGACAAAAGACTGTTTGGGAAGTTGTAACTTAAGTTTCACCTAAAGGTGGAAACCTAGTGCTTGCCTAGAAATTGATAACGGAGATAGATAAGGACAAGAGAGAAGATATACATAGCAAAGGCCAATACACAGATCCAGAAGGGGTAAGTCGATATCAGATAAGCCGGTAAGCCAATTGCAAGGCCAACGACCACAAGAATAAGAGCTTCTACCGAGCAATTCCATGTCAAGCCTCTCGTGTATACAACCGCCAATATGATTGACAATCCCATGAGATTGTTCATTGTAATATCTTTGGATCTGTGAATACCAATAGAGATGCTCTTAAAATATTTTGAGTTATCTTATTGCCTGCGTCTATATCATGTAATGTAACTTGTTGCTTAAGTAATGAATTGTGAAAGTTAAAACTAACCTCGGCGAAGGTACTGGACGAGACTCTTCTCTTGTCTTTCGGACGACAGAAGCGCATTGATAGTGTGTTCTTTAAGTTTCTAGACAAAGGGATCATCACGAACACGATGTAAAAAGAGGGAATTCCAGCTGAGACTGATAAGAGCTCGATGTTCATCATAAATGGCTTTGCTAGAAAGATGACAATTAAGATCCCTATGACTACTTCAGTCGCAGCTCCAAACGTTTCCGTAGAGAAAAATTTAGTAACAATCGTTTTCTTTGGTACTTTCACCTTTAGAACTCCGTGATCACCCTGCAGCACATCATGAGTTGATTTCATAATAACATTTTTTTCTGCTAAGTATTTATTGTGATTTTTTTTAAAAATATTAAAAAAAAATGTTTAGCAGGTTGTATTGATGTTAGTTTTATTACAAAACATATTCCACCGTTAATGAAGATAAAACTTTTGAAAAAAATGTTTCACAAAATAAAGCTTTTTTGTTTTCTATAATTTTCTTTTTATAATAGTAAATTGTATAATAGTAAATTGTATAAATTTTAAGAAAATTATTTTCTAGTTTGTTGAATTTCCACTGGTTTAATTTTATTGAAAATAATAATCATATAAAAAGATATATTTATGATATAGATTAATATTTTTTGTTAATACGTGTGAACAAATGAAAAAAAAAATTGTAATGAATCTAAAAATGTAGAAAATCAAGAAATTGTTATAGGCTTACATTGTGATTCTCTTTTTCTTCCTCTACGTTGTCGCAAATGAATTTGTATTGTTTGAGAAACTTCGTGACCCCTTCCTCAAATTCTTTCTCATTTAATTCACGTTTTTCATCTCCATTGAAATCCTCAAGAAAAATTCTACCAATCTCATTTCTGTCGCATTTCATTCTCCCCAAGTTCCAAAACTCTATGGCTAAATCTTTTAGCTCAGATATTTGTATCTTCCCATCTCCATTTGTATCAGTTTTCTCAAACAAACTACCAAGTTTAAGAAATGATTTACCATGTAAGAAAGCTAAAATGAAACAATTGTTGCTTCAAAAATGTAAAGAGAAAGAAGATAAAAATAACCTTTTTAAGCTCTCTTTGTTTATCTCTCCATGTTCTATAAGGTTTTGTGGTGAAAACCTCTGTAAGAGCATATGAACTTCTGACATGATTTCAAATCTTGCGTAATCTAAGCTCTTCTCTTGGTTAGCCCGATCAACATACTGTGAGTTTCACACAGGAAAAATAGCATTCGTAGGTGAGACAAACAAAACGAAACCAAAAGTGTTTACACAGGGCCAGCTTAGTAGAGAGAGATATATATGTTATACTTGTTGCATATTTGGATAGCAATAAAAGAATATAGTATTTAAAAAAAATAGAGTATATGTTTTACAAAAAAATAGCTTATATTTTAAAAAGATTTTATTTTTTTAATAGTGTAGAAGATAATTAATTATAGGAATCTACAAAAATATTTGCCCAAGGGTCTTTAATGACGCTGAGCCGGCGCTTGGTTTACATGTTTTTAAAGGGATTCATACCGAGTAAACAAAGTAGACAACGGTTGAAGAGAAGATATTATTAGTGTGATCAATATAATGATATGACTCCAAGATTGTGAATCACATATCGCTGAAAGTGTCACCAAGAGAAAGGGAGCTAGACTCAACAACATTATCCCAGCAGCTTTCTTGTTCTTTGGATCCACTTTTACTTTTGCTTCTGCAGATCGAGAGATAAATAAACACAAACTCTTCATACCAACAAAATTACTTTTAAAAAAGGGGAAGATAAAAAGAATCTGCAGTCTGCAAGAATTCAAGTTTCTCTCATATCTTTTGCTCATTAAGTAATGGATTCACATATTTGACAAACAAATAATTAAAAAAGAAACTGAGCTTACCAACGATGGCTTTCACTATCTTCTTTCTTTGGCTCCATCCATCGTGTATGATTTTCTGATGAACATATAGTAACGAATTATAAATAGAGAGAACTTGTAAGATTATACTCCCTCTGTTTCATTATAAGTGTCACTCTACAGCTATGCACACGGATTAAAGAAACAATTAATTTTACATATTTCCTATATAAAAACACAATTACCCACACACCTAACCATATTTTAACCAATAGAAAAACAAATTACATAATAAAATTAATAAATTTTGCATTAAAAACCGAAAACGACACTTATTTTGTAACACAGAAAATTCTCTACAATGACACTTAATATAGAACGGAGGGAGTAGAATTTATTCTTACATAATAGGGTGGGTGACCATTTGAAGAACAGTATAGAATATACACGAGTTCTCTCGTATATTAACTTAAAAAAACTTAATATATGTTTCTTGTTTCCCGTGCAACACGAAACAAGACGTAGAAAATGTTTTATATGTTTCTTGTTTCTTAATTCTTGTGCAACACGAAACAAGATATAGAATGTTATATAGAATGGTCACCCCCACGTCGAGAAAAATGGTCACCCACTTTATTTCTTCAAATAGTAGCTATTCTGTTAAATAAATTTTTGTCATGAGATCTAACAATATAAATAGATTCCAGACTCAGACCAAAAGAAACAAGAAAAAAAAAAAACTAAGTTCTCCTTACTGTCTGGTCAAAACTCGGACCAGTGATGCTAAACACAACACAAGCTCCCCATTGAATTGTGAGAGCAAACACAGTGTATCCCACAGTAACTCCAACATTGTTATCGACGAAGGAGTTAGCTACATCGCTGCTCAATGATAGTCCATTCGCTGAGATCAAAGCCCCCCAAGCAAGTTTAAGGTCCAATATACATAATGTTTTCACGTAATTTCTTAGTTGTGAGACAAAGATAGAGGATTCTTACAGAGCATAAGGACAATTCTCGGAAACATTATAAGAAGTGGAAAGACGATTCCGCTATAGAATCCGACTTCAAAGATTAAAAAGAGCTTCGACCTTCCCATGGACAAGAAATAGTCACCAATGATCAAGAGACCACCAAATGTGAGTACTTGGAAGACATAACCTCCAACATTATTTGCACATGGAAGAAATCCATAGATATGTTCACACTCGGTCCCGGACAAGGTCTTAGGAGGGTCGAGAGTGAGAAACTTGTAATCCACCGAGACGTCATGGATACCATCAGAGATCAAGACTGAGTTATTCAAAGGGAGTGGACTCAGGACACGAGAGCTCGCACAAGAGATGATCAGAGACAGGGAAAGAATAGAGAAGAAGAGAGTAAGACTTGCCATGGAAGTAAACTCGAGATCGGTGAGGAAGGTTTAGTGGGAAATTTAGTCGGAAGGTTTTCCTCAATATATACACAATACACTAGCACAAGCACAAGCACAGTAAACCTCACTATGTGACAAGATCTAACTAATATAATAAATACACGTTTTAAGGTTAATATTTATACGATGATGACTCAGACAACTTGATCTTTAATTAATACCTCGACTGTATTATTGCACATTTGCACTTGGTAAGTCATATTAATATAGATTTTTAAAGACTATTGACTTTTATACTAGTAAATGGTATGAAGAACCGGCAGTGGCGAACTATCCTTGTGAGATTACAGCCATATGTCCCATGTGGTTTTTATGATAAACAAAATCTACTTGTATTTTCTTTAAAAAAACTCAGAGAATATTGCAAATTATTTTATTGATCCCAATAATAAGAGTCCAATAATATACTAGTTAAATTGACCAATAATAAGAGTCCAATAATATACTAGTCCAATAATAATCTACTTGGCAAATGATTAAAATATATTATGTTGTAATTTATATTCCCATAGAACTGTCTTACTCTTAATATATTTACATAATAATACATGATTAGTTCGATTATTACTATTTTGCATTAGTGAAGTTTTTATTCAGTTTTTTGCATTAATCAAGTTTTTTTATTTAATTTTTTAGCCACAAGGTCAACTATTTGTTGTGTACTTACTATTCTTACAAACACCAAGATCGAGTAAAATAAAGGTTCAGTTTGAGAAGGGGAGGGGGTTAATTGAAGTAACGTGAAAGAAAATCACAAAGACAAACCGTGAAAAAGAATCCCGATGCTATGAGGGAATATAAAATAGAATAGGGTTAAGGATTTACTAAACCCAACACATCTAGGATATAAGATTTGTCAGGTTGGAGTTTTTTTATCACTTTGTCCTGTTGTCTATTTAAAGTTGCTAGAAATCTTATTGTCAAGAAGAGTAGTAATCACCACTGAGTACTTATTTCAACCTAAAGAAGTCATAAGTTTATCACACTGTTTCGGAACTTCGGTATACACCTCTAAACTTAGAAGTTGAAAAGCAGTGACATATTTAGTTACCAGGTTCATACGTGTTGAAAACTTAAAAGAAAAATCACGAATATGGTTAGGAATTATTTATATTCTCCCCAATCAAGAGCCATAGACAATTAATCATGGTAATATACTTATAAGCCATCCTAGGTCTGGAACCAACAATTATCTTATGACATAGGGTAAAGTATCACTTCTTCTACAGAAATCGAACTAGGAGTACAAAAAACTCATCTCCCTGTGTTGATTTGATTCATTTTAGGTTATTAACTCGTCAAACCTCTATTTTACATTCACTTTATGCTATGTTTTCTTTTGTTCATATGGATTTACGATTGAGGAAACGATGATGTTTATGATGAGATATTGGAGACAAAAGAATCATCAAGGACTGCATTACTTCAAAGACAAGCTCACAAACATACAGTACAAGCAAACTAAACTATTGAAATGCGAGAAAGCTATAAAATACCGGGAAATGCTCTTTGGGAGGTATTAACTTAAGTCTCCCCCAAAGGTGTAAACTTAGTTCTTGTCTAGAAACTGATAACGGAGATAGATAAGGACAAGAGAGAAGATATACATAGCAAAGGCAAATAAACTGATCCAGAACGGATAAGTCGATCTCAAATAAGCTGGTAAGCCAATTGTGAGGCCAACGATGACAAGAATAAGAGCTTCTACCGAGCAATTCCATGTCAAGCCTCTCGCGTGTATAACCGTCAATATGATTGACATTCCCATGAGGTTGTTCATTGTAATATCTTTGTAGATCTGTGGAAACCAATAAAAATTCCCTTAAACTTTGAGTTATCTTATTGCCTACGTATATATTATGTAACATAATTTTTTTTGGATATTTAGTATGGGCTGATTTGGATAACCTGGGTAGAAACACACTTAGTACTACGGTGTAATTAAACTACTTATGGAGGTGAGTGTTTTAGCACATTCACAAATCTCACATACCACTTGACCATATCCATGCGGGCTTATGTTATGTAACTTGTTACTAAGTAATGAAATGTGATAGTTAAAACTGACCTCAAAGAAAATACGCGATGAGGTTTTTTCCTTGTCTTTCGGACGACAAAAGCGTGTTGATAGAGTGTTCTTTAAGTTTCTAGCAAGAGGGATCATCACGAAGACGATGTAAAAAGAGGGAACTCCAGCTGAGACTGATAAGAGCTCGATGTTCATCATAAATGGCTTTGCAAGAAAGAGGACAATTAAGATCCCTATAATGACTTTCATCGCAGCTTCTAACGTTTCCGTATAGAGTAGTTTAGTACCAAGCGGTTCCTGTAGTGTTTTTTCCATCGTTATAGTTCTCTTCTGCTCCTGCAACGTATCATCATTTGGTTTCATAACCCTTTGAAACTAGAGAAATATATTTTCAAAAATGACATTTTCTGCTAAGTATTTTTATTGTGAACTTATTTTTATCAAAAAAAAAATTATAAACAGAATGTAGAAATGCAAGAGTTTGTTATATTATATCAAGAAAAGTTGAGGTTATTAAACTTATAATTGCAATAATCTTTTCTTGAAAAGATAAATGCTTACATTGTGATCCTTTTTCTCGTCATCTACGCTGTCGAATTTGAATTTGTGTTGTTTGAGCATAGACGTGATCCCTTCCTCAAATTCCTCCTCGTCTAATTGACCGTCTTTGTTTTTATCGAATTTTTGAAGAAATTCTTTAGCAAGCTCATCCATCTCGCATTTCAGTATTCCAAAGTTCCAGAACTCTATGTTAAAGTCTTTCAGCTCAGATATTTGTATTTTCTTATCTTTGTTTGTATCAGTTATCTCAAACAAACTACACAAATATAAGCAATGATTTAATGAAACTACCATTGCTTCAAAAGTATAAAAAGGGTGAAGTTAAAAACAACCTTTTCATGCTCTCTTTGCTTATCTTTCCATTTTCTATTAAGTTTTTTGGTGAAAACCTCTTTAATAGCTTATGAACTTCTGACATGATCTCAAACCTCGCGTGATCTAAGCTCTCCCTTTGCTTAGTCTTATCATACTGCGAGTTTCCACACACAGAAAAAAAAAAGCATGCATAGGTGAGCCAACAAAATGAAACCAAAAGGGTTTACATTTGCTTTATGAAAAAAACATTTGCTTTTCAAGGGGACTCATACCGAGTAACAAAAGTAGACAATGGTTGAAGAAGAAGAGATTATTAGTGTTGTCAATATGATGATCTGCCTCCAAGAGTGTGAATCACATATCGCTGAAAGTGTCACCATGAGAAAGGGAGCTAGACTCAACAACATAATCCCTGCAATTTCCTTGTTTTTGGTGTCCACATCTGCGCTTTTTTCTGCACACAGATAATTAAACACAAAATCTTCATACCAAAAAATACTCAAAGAAAAGAGAAACAATCTATCTGCAGCCTTCAAGTCAATGAACTTACCAACGATGGCTTTCAAGTTATCCCTTTGGCTCCACCATTCACGTATGATTTTCTGATGAACATATATAGTAACGTATTTTAAATAGAGAATTTGTGAGATGACCATATTATAAATAGAGTGTGGATCCGTGGATGGCCATTTGGTGGATAGTACAGAATACATATGATAATGCCCAATGTCATACTCGTCTATGTTTCTTGTGTAGCAAGAAACATAAAAAGATGAAGGCTATTTTCGTCTTTACAATTCACCAAATGGTCACCCGCTTTAATTATTTAAATACAACGGATAGCTATTCTATTTATTTTTTTTATAACGCTAAGAAATCAACAAAAGTTTGAGGGTAAACAAATGTGATAAACTAAAAACAGGAAAATGAGATGTCAGTAGACACCATCACAAGACAAAAAAACATGTGATAAAGGAAACTTGGGTATGATCTTATTTATTATAAACAGAATTATGGTCATGAGATCTTAGCAATATAAATAGTATGATCTCACAACTCATACATTCCAGATTCGAAGAAATCTTACAGTGATTGTTTTTCTTTCTTCATTTTCCAAACTCGGACCAGTGATGCTAAACACAACACAAGCTCCCCATTGAATTGTGAGAGCAAACACAGTGTATCCCGCAGTAACTCCAACGTTGTTATCTACGAAGGAGTTAGCAACATCGCTGCCCGATGATAGCCCATTCGCTGAGATCACAACCCCAAAGACGAAACGTTTTAAGGTCGAATATATATAAAGACAAATTTCATAATTAGCACTTTTAAAAAAAAAAAAATCCCCGCAATATCATTTAGTATTAATTAGCAAAAAAATCAAATTATTTTGCATCCTAAACCATAACTTTAGTTCCAGCCCCTAAATATATCTATCTATACTATTATTTACAAAATAATTTTTTTTATTCTGAACTCTCATATTGAAAATTAGAATGATTTAAATCAACGATATCCTAATAATTTAATATAATTTATTATATAAATAAAAAACCAAGTTTTTATTAGATGAAAAAAATAATTCTTATATATTGTGTTGTTATCTACTCAATAATATTTTTTCTACTACCAAAGTTAAAAATTTAAGATATAAAATCATTTATAGTTATAATTTATAATTAATTATTAATCAAACAAAAACATTTGTATAAAGATATTTTCTAAATTATTTCTAATAGGTTTTTCAAAATTTCAACACAAGAATAAACATATATATTTTAATGCAAAACTTTTTCATATATAAATAAGTTGATATTTAATTTAAACTTTTTGAAAATATAAATAATAACTTATCATGCTGGTTTTTGAATTAATAAAACATAAATTAATAAGTGTTGTAATAAACACCTAGTACTAACTCAAACTCAAATAAAAATTAAAAGTATTTTTTAATTAATGTTATTTTGTGATTTTCTATTTTCAAGAAAAAAAAATAATTTAGTGTCATGTAAAGGTATTTTCTATATACTATGCTTTCCGATGATTTCATAGTTGTGACTTGTGAGCCAAAGAACGAGGACCCTTACCGAGCATAAGAACAATTCGTGGGAACATTGTAAGAAGAGGGAAGATGATTCCACCATAGAATCCAACATCAAAGATTAAGAAGAGTTGCGACCTTCCTATGGACAAGAAATAGTCACCAACGATCAAGAGACACCCAAAGCTGAGTACTTGGAAGAAATAACCTCCAACACTATTTGCACATGGAAGAAAACCATAGACATGTTCACATTCGGTCCCGGACAAGGTCTTAGGAGGGTCGAGAGTGAGAAACTTGTATTCGGAGACGTCATGGACGCCATCAGAGATCAAGATGGAGTTGTTTAGAGGAAGTGGACTTAGGACACGAGAGCTCGCACCAGAGATGATGAGAGATAGGGAGAGAAAAGAGAAGAAGAGAGTAAGACCTGCCATATGGAAGTAGAACTGATCAAGATCTAGGAGGGAGATTTTGTGTGGAATTAAGTCGGAAAGGTCTTCCTCCATATTTATACACAAACATAGTAAACACCATGGGACAAGATCCAACAACTATATAATAAACAAACATTTTAAGGTTTATTGTTCATACGATGATGACTCAGACGAGTGGAATCTTTAATACGTCAACAGTATTATTGCGGTTGGTACTTGGTAGGTCAATACTAATATAAATTTTTAAAGACTAATGACTTTTGATAGTGGAGCTCCTTACTCTAATAGTTTCATTAATTGTTCTTTGGCTTTTTCTACACCAAGAAATCTGGAATCCGCGTCTAGATAATGCAATTTATGATCAATTATAATAGAAAAATCCTTACAGAAATCGCAACTAGTACCGTTTTCTATGTTGTGAATGGTATGAACAATGCGCTTTAAAATCGTTTTAAGGTTCCTTGTTCATACGATGATGACTCAGATGAATTAGATCTTAATAAGCCAATAGTAATATCGAGGTTGCTAAGTCATAATAATATAGATTTTTAAAGACTAATGACTTCTGATAAAGCGTTTTAACCAACTGTTAAATTTCTACTTTTTATTTGTAGCGAATGGTATGAAGAACGTGCTAATAGAATTCTTTTATCAGTTAAACAAGTTTCTGGAATTCCTTATCTTTTGTAATTCTAGCATACGTTCATAACTAGCATACGTTCCTAATTGCAGCAAATGATTTTACCGTTACACCAAAAAAATGTCAATATGTTTGGATGATGTTCGTACGTGATCAACTAACTTATAAAGATTTTAAAGTTATCACACGTAATAAATAAAATATCTTAAATTTTGGTTATGAATACATTATTTATGATTCATTATTTTTCGGAATTTTTTTTGTAGACTCTTCTTTTGGAGTTTTTAGTCAACAACATTTTATAAACATAACTATTTTTTCAAAATTTACAACTTATCACTATCTATACTATTATTTGAGAAGTAAATTTGCTGATTTGTCATATTCTTTATAATTTTAGGTAATTTTTCTTATTTGTCATGTTCTTATAATTTTGACTAATGATTAATTAGATTTATTAATATATAATTAACCATAAACTAAAAAAAAATTATTATATAATTAACCATAAATTTCCTCCACAATTTTATGTAATTTTGTTTATTTTTCATGTTCTTATAATTTTGACTAATGATTAGTTATTATTCTTATCCAATAATTAGATTTATTAATATATAATTAACCATAAACTAAAACAAATAAAGATATATAATCAACCATAAATTAGAAACAAACTTTATTGTTTTTGATGATTATCATTATCAAAACATAGTTTGTAATCACCACTGAGTACTTATATTAACCTAAAGATGTCATAAGTTTATCAAACTGTTTCGAAATTTCTGTATACACCTCTAAACTTATAAGTTGAAAAGCAGTGACATGTTAGTTACCAGGTATCATACGTGTTGAAAACTTAAAAAGAAAATCACGAATATGGTTAGGAATTATATTCACCCAATACCGAGCCATAGACAATTAATTATGGCAATATACTTATAAGCTATCCTAGGTCTGGAACCAACAATTACTAATATCGAACTAGGAGTGCAATAAATCAACTCCCTGTGTTCCACTAATCAACGCATCGAGATTTGATTCATTTGAGGTTATTATTAACTCGTCAAACCTCTAGTACATCACTTTATGCTATGTTTTCCTTTGTTCATATGGATTTGTACAATTAAGGAAACGATGATGTTTATGATGAGATATTGTAGACAAAGAATCATCAAGGACTGCATTACTTCAAAGACAAGCTCACAAACATACAGTACAAGCAAAACTGAACTATTGAAATGCGAGAAAGCTATAAAATACCGGGAAGTGCTCTTTGGGAGGTTGTAACTTAAGTCTCACCTCTAAAGGTGTAAACTTAGTTCTTGCCTAGAAACTGATAACGGAGATAGATAAGGACAAGAGAGAAGATATACATAGCAAAAGCAAATACACTGATCCAGAACGGGTAAGTCGATCTCAAATAAGCCGGTAAGCCAATTGCGAGGCCAACGATCACAAGAATAAGAGCTTCTACCGAGCAATTCCATGTCAAGCCTCTCGTGTATACAACCGCCAATATGATTGACAATCCCATGAGGTTGTTCATTGTAATATCTTTGTATATCTGTGTAAATCAATTAAAATGCCCTTAAACAACGTCTATATATATATAAATATCATATAATGTAGCGTGTTATTCAAGTAATGAATGTGATAGTTAAAACTAACCTCAGAGAAGGTATGTGACGAGATTTTCTTCTTGTCTTTCGGACGAGAGAAGCGTGTTGATAGAGTGTTCTTTAAGTTTCTAGCCAAAGGGATCATCACGAAGACGGTGTAAAAAGAGGGAACTCCAGCTGAGACTGATAAGAGCTCTATGTTCATCATAAATGGCTTTGCAAGAAAGAGCACAATTAAGATCCCTATGATGACTTCAATCGCAGCTCCTAAAGTTTCCATATAGAGAATTTTGGTGAAAAACGATTGCTGCGGTGGTTCTTGCATCTCTAAAACTCCCTTCTTCTCCTGCAACACATCATGATTTGGTTTTATAATGAATGTCTTTTGAAACTAGAGAAATATAAATAACAAGTGACATTAATTTTCTGTTAAGTATTTTATTGTAATTTCTATTTGCACAAAAGAAAATGTAGCCGTTATAATGAAGTTATTTTTATAAATTATAAACAAAAATATTTTCTTGAAATGATAAATGCTTACGGTGTCATCCTCTTTTTCATCATCTAGGCTGTCGAATTTGAATTTGTATTGTTTGAGCATATTCTTGACCCCTTTCTTAAATTCGGTCTCGTCTAAATAACCGTCTCCGTTTTCATCGAATTTCTTAAGAAAGTCTATAGCAAGCTCATCTATTTCGCATTTCATTCTCCCAAAGTTCCAAAACTCTACGGTTAAGTCTTTTAGCTCAGATATTTGTATCTTCTTATCTCCGTTTGTATCAGTCAACTCAAACAAACTACACAAATATAAGCAATGATTTAATGATGTGAGAAAGATGAAATGAAACAATCAATATTGCTTGAAAAGTATAAAGAGAGAAAGAAGTTATTAAAAGAACCTTTTCAAGCTCGCTTCGCTTATCTCTCCATTTTCTAGTAAGTGTTTTGGTGAAAACCTCTTTAATAGCTTATGAACTTCTGACATGATCTCAAACCTCGCGTGATCTAAGCTCTTCTTTTGGTTTTCCTGATCTTTATACTACGAGTTACCACAGAAAAAAATTCATAGGTGAGACAACAAAGGGAAACCAAAAGGATTTAAGTTTGTTTTTTTAAAGGGACTCATACCGAGTAAACAAAGTAGACAACAGTTGAAGAAGAGGATATTATTAGTGTTATCAATATAATGAAGTGCCTCCAAGAATGTGAATCACATATAGCTGAAACTGTCACCATAAGAAAGGGAGCTAGACTCAACAACATAATCCCTACATATTTTTTGTTCTTGGAATATTCCACGTCTACACTTGCTTCTGCGCATAGATAAACACAAAATCTTCATATATACCAAAAAAAATACTCAAATAAAAGAGAAACAATCTACAGCCTTCAAGTCACTAAGGCTTACCAACGATGGTTTTCACTATCTTATGTCTTTGGCTCCACCATTCTTGTATGATTTTCTGATGAGCATATTATAAATAGAGAGAATTTTTTAGATGACCATAATTTTCTGCATATAATCGTAAATAATAAAGTGGATGACAGGACAGCACACAATACCGACGAGAATGCCCCAATACCATACCAAATGATCACACACTTTATTTCTTTAAATAGATAGCTATATATTCTATTAATTATAAACAGAAGTACGGTCATAAGAGCATATTTAATGCATGTTGCTTAGAGAGTTGATTAGGAGGAGAGGGGTGCTTAATTTAAAGAGAGAGTATGAAAATTGTTTAATTATGTATTTTCCACACTCTCTCTCTTTAAATTAAGCACTTATCTCCTCGTAAGCAACTCTCTAAGCAACCTCTATTAAACATGCTCTGAGATCTTAGCTATATATAAATATGATCATACAACCAACAGATAAAGAAACAAGAAGAAAATCTTACAGTGATTGTTCGTCTTTCTTCCTTAGTTGAACTTGGACCCGTGATGCTAAACACAACACAAGCTCCCCATTGAATTGTGAGAGCAAACACAGTGTATCCCACAGTAACTCCAACGTTGTTATCTACGAAGGAATTGGCAACATCGCTGCTCAATGATAGTCCATTCGCTGAAATCAAAACCCCAAAAGAGAAAGAAGGAAGAAACGTATTAAGGTCGAATACATATGAGGGCAAATATCATAATCAGCATTTTGTTTTTTTTTAGTTTTATCACAAAAATAGAACTAAAGGAAAAAATCTTCAAAATAGTAGTTATTAATTAATAACAACATTAAATTATCCTACTCTCTAAATCATAAGACTTTTTGTTTGATCAAATCATAAGATTAATTCCATTTCCTAAATAGTCTTTGTTTTACAAACTTTTTTGTTACACAAAAATGTCATTTTAGAATATCAATACAATTTATACTTTCTTTAAAATTAAATATTAGTTACAAAATGTATTAATCTTCTAAATAATTTATTTACTTCAAATACTATAAGTTAAATATATGTAATTAAAGAACATATACATTTTAATTATTTTCTTAATTTGTTTGAAAGTGTCAAATTTTGATGAAGCGGATTGAATAGTAAATACTAAATCAACACTAATCACTTAATCTGAAACCCAAATAAAAAATAAAATATTTTTCTAATGGTTAAATAATACTTTTTGTAGTTTTCTTATTTGTCCGTTATTTGTTTTCGATAAAAAAACTTAATTTACTATTATCTAAAGGTATTTTTCTATATATTTTGTGTTCAGATGATTTTGTAGTTGTGAGCCAAAGAACAAAGATCCTTACAGAGCATAAGGACAATTCTTGGGAACATTGTAAGAAGAGGGAATATGATTCCGCCATAGAATCCGACTTCAAAGATTAAAAAGAGTTTCGACCTTCCAATGAACAAGAAGTAGTCACCAACAATCAAGAGACACCCAAAGGTGAGTACTTGGAAGGCATAACCTCCAACACTATTTGCACATGGAAGAAAACCATAGACATGTTCACATTCGGTCCCGGACAAGGTCTTAGGAGGGTCGAGAGTGAGAAACTTGTAATCAGAGACGTCATGGACGCCATCAGAGACCAAGATGGAGTTGTTTAGAGGAAGTGGACTTAGGACACGAGAGTTTGCACCAGAGATGATGAGAGACAAGGAGAGAAAAGAGAAGAAGAAAGTAAGACTTGCCATATGGAAGTAGAACTGATCAAGATCTAGGAGGGAGATTTTGTGTGGAATTAAGTCGGAAAGGTCTTCCTCTATATTTATACACAAGCATAGTAAACACCACTATCAGACAAGATCTAACAACTAGATAATAAACAAAACATTTTAAGGTGTATTGTTTATACGATGATGACTCAGACGAGTGGAATCTTTAATACGTCAACAGTATTATTGCGGTTGGTGCTTGGTAGGTCACTACTAATATAATTTTTTAAAGACTAATGACTTCTGATAATGGGAGCTCCTAGTCCTTACTTACTCTAATAGTCTCTCATTAATTGTTAAAATGGTTTTTTCTACACCAAGAAATCTGGAATCCGCGTCTATATAATGCAATTTATGATCAATTATTAGAAAAAAAATATATAGAAAGAGCAACTAGCACCGTTTTATATGTTGTGAATGGTATGAACAATGCGCTTTAAAATCGTTTTAAGGTTCCTTGTTCATACGATGATGACTCAGATGAATTAGATCTTAATATGCCAATAGTAACATCGAGGTTGGTAAGTCATAATAATATACATTTTTAAAGACTAATGACTTCTGATAAAGCGTTTTAACCAATTGTTAAATTTCTACTTTTTATTTGTAGTGAAATAGTATGAAGAACGTGCTAATAGAATTCTTTTATCAGTTACACAAGTTTCTGGAATTCCTTATCTTTTCGTAATTCTACCATACGTTCCGTTTTTCTTTCGTTAACATAACTAGCATACGTTCCTAATTGCAACAAATCATTTTACCTTGACACAAATTATAATGCCAATATGTTTGGATGATGTTTTTTTTTTTTGGTAAAATATGTTTGGATGATGTTCTTCTGTAATCAGTTAACTTATAAAGATGTATATTTTAAAACATCTTAAATTTTGATTATGAATACATTATCTGTGATTAACTATTTTCTGGAATTTTTTTTTTGTTTGTAAACTTTTTTTTTTGGAATTTTTAGTCAACAAAATTTTAAAATATAATTATTTTTAAAAAAAATTACAACTTATCACTAGATTTAAAATGTAAAAATACATATTTTTGAAACAAAATACTACCTCAAGATCTCCATCGTCATCTATACAGTCCATATGGGCATCAAAAGCATCAGTGGAGAGAGTAGGGAAGAACTTCCCAGAACTTGAAGTATCGTGGTATCATCATATCAGCTGCGAAGCAAAGAAGAGTAGTAAGTTGGAACAATGTTGAAAATTTACAAAACGCGACCGAAATTTATGTTTCTTACAAATTGACCCCTATAGTTTATTTTGGACAACAAAAACCGATCAGCTGATTTTTTTTCTACTAAAGAGGAGTATTCTCAACCAAAACTAGTTTGGTGATGCAGTTTTTATTCCCATACAAAACCAATTCTAATAGAGACGTGTCTCAAGAACACAAGAATTAGACAAGTTTTTTTTTAATATATAATTTAGCAAAATCACAGAATAGGCATATCAAGGACATCCTTAAACTCAAAGTCATGAGTATGTTTATTGAACCTCTCGATCAGCTTGTACCGAGTGTCGTTCAAGTAAAACGACTAAGCTGTCTCCATGATCCATTTAGCCTCCTCGTCAGTGAGTTTGCTTGTGAACACAACATCACCTCTGAAAGCTCGAAGTAGAAGGTGCTAGTTAAGGTGCCGCTTTAGTTCCTCTTGCGTTGTAGTCTTCGAGGCCAGTGAAAGTCACGTGAGGCGCTTCAACTGCCACAACAAACATGATTGACAACTAATAATCAAAGATCCAATGCTACATCTAGCAAAGATTCAGCCTCACATAATACATGGTGAATAAACTGTTCAAGATTAACTAGTGTGGTAGCATTGGTCCTAACAAAGTAAATGATTGTCTTTTAAGTAAAACCAATGTTTGAGAGGCGGTATAGATCTTTTATAGGTGATTATTGTTTAGGCAAGTATCTAGTCCGGTATTTTGAACGCCTAAATGATTTCTTTAGAAAACCGTTCAGAAAAATTTGTATCGTTTAAGTTTGATTTGCTATCTAGGTGGGCGCTTAAATAGATCGAGTTTAGAACACCGAGTAGAACCATCTCAATCATTGAATCTTTTTTTTTTGAACACAAAACACTTAAATTAAACTAGCATCACAAGAAAGTTATCTAGTGGGAAGACCAACATTACAAAGAGCCAGCTTAGCAAGTAAAGTCTGCCTCGGAGTTTAGGGAATGAGGGATAAAAGATAAAGAAAAACAATCAAACAAGGACGATAGAACTTCGATGTTCTGGGCAATTCCGTAGAGTTCGACCGGTGGCGACTTCGAAAGAACAGCTCTAACGAGCAGTTGACAGTCTGAGTATACACAGACTCTTACTCCCAGATAAAGCTACCACAAAAAAACCACGATTTTAAAGGTGATTTTTTTTTGGTAAAATTAAAAAAAAAAAAGTGATTTATGAGAGAGTTCACTAACACTTTTAGCATGATCATCATCTATTTAATAAGACCAAACCTGCCATGACCGGGTCGAACCATACCCAAATCTTAATATTCAAAAAGTCGACATTTACTTGGAACCATTTTTATCATTTGTTTGTAAATCTTTTTTTGGGTAAATCTTTTTTTTGTAAATCTTCCAAGTAGTAAAATACCAGTGGTCCTTTTCTCCATATTTTTTTAATTTGGACTTTCAAGAATGTAATATACATGCAAAGTGTGCATTGAATCAAGTTCTTCACATGGAAAGAGCTGCGTAGAGAAGCTGGTTCCAAGTATCCGGCAAGCCAGGAAGGCACCAGTGGCTGCAATCGGTTCCTCCATCAGCTCCATAGGTAGATGGATGAGCATCTTTCCTTAGTTGAGACAGAGTTGTGATATCAAGTAAGTAAACAGGTGTTTTCATCGAGCTTAACACTCGGGACACGATGCTTGCTGCAGGAAGTGAACCACCTGGGTATGTTGATCCGCTCAACGGTTGCATCTGCCCGTTGCAACTATTCCTTGGCTCATTCCATTCCTTTCCCCTATTAAATTTCCCACAATACAGTGAACCTAAAAGCCGTGATTTACAACCACATATATGTATATAATATGTGTGATAAACTTACATGTAGTGAGTAGGAGAAATGCCTTGGAAGAAAACACGGGTTTGCGAAATATTAACATTTTGATCAACCCATTGAGCCCAAGTGGTGATCCCTTTGTTGAAAGCATCAAGACGGTCCATGTCTCTATTCAATGAAGACCCATTTCTTATATAATCCCACCTGAGTAAACAACAAGATGAGCAGACGATTCTGGTTAACTAAGCATGTCTTAATCCCAAATTAGACATATATATATATGAGGGTAAGCTATTTTGTACGAACCCTTGTAATTCTACTCCTTTGTGAAGCCACCAGTGCCAGGAATTGAAGACGAGAATGTCCATGTCTTTCCAAACATCAGCACCACCTTCAATAGTTCCAAGGTTAAGCACACGCCCTACACTTTCTTTGGAGATATCCACTAGGTATGGTGTTCGGTAAAGGTATATTGTAACTCCATATTCCTGTTTTTATCAACGATTAAGGAAATTCTTTTGTATTGGGACAAGTGATCGAGAAAATCATAATAGTCTTTACTATATATGAAATGTGTTAAAATCTCTAAAAATATGAAAAAGAACATTTTAGTAGAAAATCACACACACATATATACATTCCAAGCTTTTTAAAATGTTTAACTGGTCTATATATTATTTTATTTTATTTATATAACTGTCCACATATATAACTGTACTCGAATATATCACAAAAAATTTTTTTTTTAAAAAAATATGAAACAGAATGCAATTTTTCTGTAAAGTAACATTTTTGAGATAGCCTCTAGAAAATTTGAGCTATGCGTCAACATATAATTGATTGGACCATTTAAACAATGTAAAAATAAATTAAATTTTAGAAAATTTATTAAGATGATATTATTTTGCATTTTTAGATACTCATTTGAAGATACTGCCAATAAAGTTGTTTAAAATATAAACTGAAGAAAACCAATTCGAGGTAGACTTTAGTTGTCATTGGCTGTCAGATCTCCTACTTCCTTTCCCTGCTCAGTTCTCTTCTTTTTGTTTCTTTCCAATTTATTAGTTTGTTTTCTAGTCCTTTAAAACAACTAAAAGAGAGAAATCGCCAAAAAAAACTAATAGTCAACATTTGTAAATTGTAACAAAGGCCAAAATAATGTACGGTGGACGCAAATTTTGGATGTTTACTTCTTCCTTTTGTTTTCCATATCACATAGGTTTTATGGCTAATATACTTATAGTTTCATTGTCATGATCAATATCAGCCTAATTAGAAAAATCCCGACTGTTTTTGACAAATAGACAAATAAAAGAATAATTTTAAGATAGATCTACTAGTCATAATATATTTTTAAAAACGAGTTATAAATTTATATTTAGATATCCCACTCACACATTTATACGTTCAAAACAAACACAGAAACACAAGTATTTGTTTGTACAATATATATACTAGTTTTATGTTCTCTCTTTACTCACTAATCCATTATTTTCCAAGTTTGAAAATGAAAGAAAAATAAAGAACCCATCAGGCAGAGAAAATCATAATACATAGGATGTCAAGCATTTGCAGAAAACATTTTTACATTTAAGACTAAAAGCAAATATGGACAACTTTTTTTTTCTCAAACTGATGAATTGTATAATATATAGAGCCCCTGAGTCCCTGACCAACTCGATTATTTAATTTAATGACAAGACCTCCTCGTGATGATGAATTATTAGCTTTTGTATTTATCCAAAGACACATGCAGTTTAAGCTACAAGAAGTAAACAAAAAGAGAGAGGGAGAGGGAGGGACCTGAAAAATGAGAGAGGAGACTGGGGTACGCTTGATAAAAGTGGTCTTGGTGCCTGGTACCGATGCATGAATCATGCATCCTAATGATTCCCACATGTTTTGACTCAGTGAATCTCCCACGAACATAACTCGTTTCCCTCGCCACTTATTCAGAAATCCTTGTCCATCGAACCTTCAAATCACATATATACATAACTTATCATTATAATCATCTCTAGCTAGGCTTAAATGCATGGACGTTAATGTCACATGTATATACCTTGGGATGGTGCATGAATCAGGTTGCCAGGAGTACTTGAGGAACTGTTTGTCTGGTCGGCCAAATTTGAGACAATCAAACTCGCCATCGATGAATGGACAAGTGGACGGATCGTAGAAAGGGTAAGAAGCATCAAAAACCCATCTCCCTTGGAACAAGTTACAATCACTCGTTTGCTTCCTCCCTTTCAACGCTGCTATTTTTACTCTTCCGGAGCCAGTCAACCCCGTTCTGTTGCGACGGCTCTCATGCAGTTTCTTGTCAGAAGCCAGGGCCTGGTCGGCTGTGGACAAGATTAAGAATGTGAGAAGTGGAAGAAGAAGGAACAGAGAGATGAGTTTAAAACCCATCTTTCAAGAAAAAAAAATGTGGGTTCCTTTTTGAAGTGGCTTTCTGATTGAATTGGGTACTTTTTTTTTTGAAACACACACGTATGTACTTATATACACATAACTCCAGTGGTGAGTTGTGTGAAGAGATTCTTGGGTAGAGGTACTATTTGGCCATATATGAGTTTGAAATTAACAAAAAAAAATCTACCGTTGAAGTCACATTAGTTTTGGTAATAACCATCGAAAGCAAAATAATTTTGCTCAACTCATCCACATTATCATTTTAGGTGTGTTTCCGTGGGGATCCCGTGAATGAATCAAAGGTATTAGTGGGACATTCTATTACTTTGATTGTCACGGGGGACATCTTAAATCATTTTCCAGCAATTCTCACATGCTTTCATCTGTTGTTCATTCATTTCTTCCTTATAATTTCGATAAAACATTACTTTCTATTATAAGATATGGACAGCACTAGACAGGTAGCCTTGGCTATTTTTCCATAATTGATTATGTTTTGTTCATTAGTGTTTTCAAAATACCGAGTGAATTTCACAGGAGTGGTCACATGCAAGGCAAGAAAATTGTTTCACGTTTCTTTTGGTGACATTTTGTAAGATGTTTTCGAAAATGCAAATAAAGGTTAAACATGAGTTTTCGATATATATAACTAATTCTAACTCCAAATCGTTTGTTACCTTACATAAGTTTGTTTATTATTGCAGCTGATTCTGTTGAAGATTTTGAGAATCGAGAGAAACAAAAAAAAACAACATATATTATCCCATTAAGTTGGATATAACAGATCCTCTATCATTTGAGAAGTGACTTTCACAGTGTATGTGACAACTTACAATACTTATTTCTATGAATTGTGGTAATGGGATCAAGATTCTTGTAGGAAGAATCCATGAAAACGATCTGTATTGCAAGCAATTAATTTAGTTACATCTATATAAAATATATAAAATGTCACAAGAAATATTTTTAAATTTAGTGAGATAATGAAACACTGGAAGTCTGGATAAATCCAAGAAGTCGGTGTTGGAATAGCATTTGGCTTTGAAAATATGTGACAGCAAGATAGGTATATATATTTTCATGTAGAGCAATGTTTAGTTGTTAATGATTATAATTTGCAAACCACTTATTCCTTATAAGCCACTATAACAAAGAAAAAAATCTGGATATATATTCATGATATATATATACAATTCAGGGTATCCTGAAAATACACATACAAATATTGAAGGGATTCTAAAACAAAAAACAATCAATCTACGTTAAATATTCAGTCTATCAGAATTCAGAAGTCAGAACGTGACTCTGACCTCTGCCATCTTTTGGCTCGAACTACGACCACCAGAAACTGATGACCATCATTGTTTCACTCACATATACGTACTAGCTAGTTATATATATATCTTATTCTAGATTGAGTTGTTAACGTTCTATTTCCCAACCAAGCTTGATAACAATGATTAGTGTATGGAAAGTGAAGATACGGTTTTTAGATAAATTTCTTTCTAGGGAGTTTTTAATTGGGTTTTCATGATTTAAAAAAAAAAAAATAGATAAAAAAGAGAAGATAAGAGAAGGAAATGTACTTTTTATATTTTTTGTAGAAACTCATGAAAAATATCGTTCACACTTCACTTACAGACTGGTTTAATTTAATAATAAAATGAAATTTAATTATTAGATTGCACTATATTAAAATAGTTTCTTCTGTACGTTTAAAGAAACTCTTTTGATTTTTTTTTTCTAATTATTGGAGATGTTCTTAAATTAATCACTTTATTTTAAAATTATAAGAAATACTTTAAATAAATACATGTCTTACCAGCTACATCAACGCCATGCAAGACGTAGGTAACAATGCAAATACATTACAAATATGTGGACTTAAACCGCACCGCACCTCAACAATGTATCCCTTATATATTAATCCTGAATCATTCATAAATACACAACCTTGAAAAGCATGCTTACGTGTCAAGCTCACAGAGTTCCTCAGCTTTAATTTTTTAAAGGACCAATTTTGCTAGGAATGAAATAATGTAACATTTAATTTCTTACATTTAGGACTATAATACATAGACATTTTTAAGGGACCAACCCTGCTAGGTATAAAACAATATATTTTATTTCCTTAAATAAAAGCTACGGAATTACCTAATATGATTAACATATATATGTAATTAATGATTATGAATAATACATATTTTTGTATCCTCTCACTTTTTTGTTTAATTTTAAATTATTAAAATAAATTAAACAATCACATTTAAATATATAATAAAAAATTATTTTTTTTCTTATACGTTATAGTTTTAATTTTTTAAAACGACCATAAATAACTAAAATAGTAAAATCCCACATTGAAAATTTTATGATCAATGGTTTAACTTTGTTTTTTTTTCCAAAGAAGATACAAATTATCATAAATCGTACGAATATAAAGTATCATTAGTAGATATTCATACTATAAATATGTTAATTTAAAAATTTCAGTGAAAATGTTTGAGGTTAGTAGATACAAATTATAGTATTCGAAATTTTTTTGTAGTTTGTTTTATTTGCTTCTTTTTTTTAATATCTTTTAGTTTGTTTATATAATTTAACTAATTTTAAATTAGATTTATTAATAGTTTAAATATATTTATTTTTGTCAACTTTTAATGTTTAACAAATATTTTTTGGGATGATTTCAGATATTGGTTACAATCCAATCCAAACTGAATTGAGAAGATAAAATCGAATCCAATCCGATAATTAGTAAAATTCAAATAGGATTTATAAGAATAATACCAAAATCTGAAAATACGGGTCAATCAAACTAAAACCGACAAAATCTCAAACGTCCAGACCTATGATGATTTAAGATACCAACATTTGTATTCATCATTTTATAATCGATAAATATTGTAGTATTGTAAAATGTTAAAAACAATTTAATAAATAAATATTAGTATTAAAATTTCACCCCGCGCGTATGCGCGGGTTATCATCTAGTAATCTAGTAATCAACACACTTTATAGTATTGTATATTATCATATACTTACTTTCCATTCGAATTAGTGTATGACTCTATAAATAAATAACAAAAACGCTTACGCAACTGGATAAAAAGCATATTGGGCGACGCCACACATGCCTTGAGGCCAAGCCACGTCTCTACGGATCCTAATATAACCATTTTCTCCCCATGTTTCACCCCAAGAGTTCTTAGCCAGCCAGTATTTGGTCCCGTCCTGGCTCACCCCGTACCCAACAAACGTAACAGCGTGATTCGAACTGGTCCCACAAGGCCCATCGTATACTCCCCCTGAGTAATGCATGAATCCGTCCCCACTAGCGTCCATCGAGACAGACACGGGTTGCCTCGATACGGCCTCGAGCAAGGCCCGCTCGTTGTTGCTAGGGACAGATTGGAAACCGCTGATCCGTGCAGCGGGTATTGCATTGGACCGACATCTCCCGTCGGATCCTTGGTAAGAGTAAGACTTCTCCGAAGCGATGCCTCGGTTTTGGATTATGTAGTTGAAAGCATCCGACATTATCCCACCGTTGCAGCCTTGGTCAAACTCTCTGTCGCAGTCTAGAAGCTGTTGTTCGGACAATGATAAGAGCTTCCCGTGGGCGATCTTAGTCACACCTTCCACTGCTGCTACAGAAGAAAACGCCCAACAACATCCTGTACATATATAGACCTCTTATTAATTGGATGCTCTCATAGAAGGCACAACCGTATTCACATTAGCCCTAAACTAACTTGGATATCAAGTTATAATTACTATGTTGGTGCATTTATAATTTGCCTTTGCATTGCCCTCATTTTAATTTATACGATCTTTTTACATTTGTTTTAATTAATTTATAACTAGATCTCAACCCGCGCAATCGAACGGGTATTTGTTTTCATTTATTGTATATATAAAAAAATTTTACTTCTAAATTGATATATATTATATAAGGTGTGTATATCGAAAATGATGATTAATTATTATATAGTATAGATTAATTATTGTTAGAAAATGATGATTTTGTTATTTTTAAAAATAAACTATATAATTTTTAAAGTTATATAGATAATTAACTTATACTATTACAACGTTATATTATATAAGTTTAATTTAAACATATATTTTATTATAATATCTATAAATCCAATGGATCATCTATTTTTTATTAGCCTAATAAAAATTTCTAGTAAGCCCAATAAATGTTATTAGTGGATGTCAAAAAAAAAAAAAAAAAAAAAAAAAAATGTTATTAGTGAATCTAATGAATGTTATTAATGATTGAATAATGTAATGTCATAAAATCTATTAGATGGTCCATTTTAAAATATCACAAATGAAGTGAAGTCATGACTTCTCTTTTAATATATAAGATTGCTTTAAAAAATCATTTCATTCCATCAATTCCTTTTGTTAATTACTAGTTACAGCTTATAGTGTAGTATAATTCTATAGAAAAAGAAGTATTACCGCATTGGCCTTGGTATTTGACAGGAGTGACAGCTCCTTCACTCCTCCAATCCTTGCTCTCGCCTGCCACGTCACTGACATTCCAAGACCTAGACGACAACGTTTTGTCGACCACCTTGGACGGGGAAATTCGAGTTATGTTCTTTAGTCCGGTGTGCGTTGCTAGGAACTCCTCATTGGTCCAATCCGCGAATTCATTGACACTAAGCTTGTAGCTCTTGTTCGCTTTTTCGTTGAAGTTCTCAATGAACTTCAAGTTCTTCTTAAACACATCGCGTCTCATCTGTTTCTCGAGGTCATCGTTGTAAACACGAGAGAATCGAGACATCCATTGCTCATGTTTGTCAACCATCGACGGCACGTGGAAGGTTACAGTACGAGACGTAGCTTGAGAGATTCTGAAACTCGTGAAAAGAATGGTCAAAACCGTGACCAAGACCATGATCGATGTCATTTTTGCGTTTTGATGAGAATGGAGAAAATAGAAGGAAGATTTCTGTTTGTTTTACTAATGATTAATGGTGTTGAAGGAGTGAGGATAGAAGGAGGAGTATTTATAGCTTTAGGATGTAACAATGAGTCCATTATATGTAAGCAAACACAAGTTGACTTGAATCCATTTGATGTGATGTTAACACTTTGCAGTACTTGCGGCGTAATGTCTGGAAGAAAAACTTCCCTATTTGTATATGTATACGCATGTATATGTTTAACTTCCTTGTTTGTATATTGGTTCATTTTGTTATTTTGATTTTCTTGTTCGGAATATATATTTGTGAAATTGGAATTGACTTGAAAAAACTTTTGTGCCATGGTATATCCATAAAGTGAACTTAGAATCCTTTAAAGAACAGCACAATGGTTACAGCACTCTACAAAGTTTTGATTAGGTGGAAGCCTATTTACTCTTAGAGGTCCTAAAGTTAACGATTTCAACTTTCTAAATGGCACACAAAATCCTGCTGAAACACGATAATATAAAATTTTGGTATGCACCATTATATCAAAATTTTAGAGTATTACAGTAGCCATTAGACTAGGCATTCGGAGTTCCAATCGGGTTTCGGTTTTGTCCGATCGGGTTTTGATTTATTGGATTTATCAAAATCAACTCTATTCGGATTATTTGAAAGTTTGATTCGGAACCAATTCAGGTTCTATCGGATTTGGGTCAGGTTAAGTAAATTTTCAAAAAACCGATATAACCCGTTGTACTTTCGGGGGTTTGAGTCCCAATCGATTCTTCGATTTAAAAGTATATGATTTGCACCTACTTCTTAAACAAAAAAAAAAAGTAAAATCGGTTTTTCGAATATAAAATACCTGATTTATAACTTTTTGTAACTAAAACATAAGTAAAATTGACTCAAAAGTAAGAACGAAACCTCAGACATGATCATTCAAAATCAAACGAAAGGTAAACATAGTTATTGATAGAAAGAAAACAAATAAAAGAAAGCATAAAACAAAAACAAAATCTTAAGAAACGACAAACATTATTAAATAAAAACAAAATCTAAATTTAAGAACTTCAAGCTTCAACCGCCATCTTCAACTTTCAACCTTCATGTAATAGAAAATTATTTTAGATATTCACTAATATTATTTTGGATACATATTAGAAATTGAGATCATGTTTAATACATGTTCTTTTTGGGATTTGAATGTTTTGAGTTCTAGCGGATATTTATTTAGTCTTAGATTTGGTTCGGATAATACTCATAATACAAAATATCAATAAACAATATTTATTTGGTATTTATATCGGATTTTGATCGATTTTTATTCATTTTTATCGGATCAAATTATGTTTATTTGCCTAGTCCTAGTAACCATCTTTAAAACGGTTAAAAGTGTGTGCAATGTTTTGATATACAGAAGACACGGTATCATGTATGTGTACCTTAAGACTACTGATTAAGCGATCGTAATTTATCTTTTGCAGAAATTAAAAATAAATTTCTTATTTGTTATGTAATATTTTTTTGTAACGCTGATTTATTATGATATAACAATTATAAGAAAGATTATAGAGATGATTCGATAATCGGTAATATTATTTGTCTTTTGATGATCTACACTTAGCCGCATCACCTGAACCGTCTTATGAAGAGTCATGTCTTACCGAGTTTACTTGCACCATACTACAGGTCTTTTGTAAATATTTTCCTTGTAACATAGATAATTGTTTAATAAATCGCTTTCACCAAAGATTGAAATCTGAATCTCATGATGTAGAAGAATTAATGGACTTTTAGTTAACCCATTGAAATAAAAAAATTTCCACAATTTATGTAATATTTAAACCTGCATATATTAGAAATATCTTATGTTTTTTCGGTTTCTTATATTTCTTATAAATGAATGGGAGTAGAAACTTATTTCTCCACTTGGAGTTCCGTTTCGCTTGTACATTTAGCAGATTCCACAAAATAATGAATTATGTTTTTTTTTTTTAAAGTATTATACAGTGATGGGCATGCAAATATATATGTTAAAACTTTAAAGGATAAGATACTTTTGAACCGATCGTAATCCAAAACCGAAAAAGAAATTACAAATGTTTTTATTACATCATGATCTTGGTCCAATGTTATTTCATGAAATATCACCAAGTAATATTTTTGGTTAGGATCCTCGACATCGTAGTGTATATAAGAATAGTTTATGTTAAAATTATGAAATTGAGTATGATGCATTTTTGAACATATACATTTCTTTTCGCGTGTACTTTACATATTTTGTAATAAATTCTGTTAGAAAGTTTATTTGTTTATAATATTCGCAACCAAACACAATTGTCTAAATTTTTTTATTATATGTGCAATCACTAAAGGGAGCAATAGAACATGGGCTCAAATGGGTGCGTCATATACATGCTACAAGTTCAATTCTTTAGTTTATTTATGTCTCTCAACTTGGCTTACAAGAGTCACGTATTCAAACGACAACAAATATTTTTTGTTGTTGCTGAAGTCAAAAAATTATTGCATTAAAGTTAAAAAAAACTAACAAAGAAACTAAATCTGAATAAGTTTTTTTGGCCCTTACCAGTAAAAAATCAAAAAAAAATTTGCCTCTTCTCCAGCTTGTAAATTTATTAATGTACAGGTTTACAGAAATCACATAGCAGGCTAAAACGAGTTTTGGGTGATGGGATATACTTAGTTCGAAATGTTCAGACATTGGATGCTTCAAGAGGTTTTTCTTAGAGTCACTAAAAATGAAAGTTAACCATTTTATAACCTTTCATATCAATCCCCCAAAGGATGAAAGTGTACGGTAACTAAAAATTCATTGTTTCATTTGCTTTCTATCATCTCATAATAACTGAAGAAGAAATTTGGATCTGGGCTAAAAGTTACTATTTACTACACTTAACGGACTAGTGCGAGGTGAACAGTTGAGCTACATGGCTGTGGTGGTGCTAGTATTTTGGAGTTTTAGACCGACCTTACCGCTAACATGAATGTCGACTTTAGAAAGAAAAAAACAAAAACTTTCATAGTTCATACAATAAAGTCTTAAGAGTGTAGTGACTTGGTTTGTAAACTAATATGAAGAGAAAATCAGCTTTGAAGAAGAAATCACACGACAACTACATGTTCTCTCCTGAATCTCTTGATGTCTTAACAAAGACACGCTTCTAAATTTTTAATGATTTAAGCTTGGAAATCAGAAGTTATGTTGCCAGCTTGAATAAAATTTAAATTAAGTGGAAGATTTTTGAATTAAACTATTAATTTGGTAAACTACAAATTGTATGAATTTAGCCTTTTTTGCAAAAAGAAAAAAAAAATGAAAGTATATGAACTTTTAGAATTCTACAATGATACGTGTGTTATTATATAAAATCCTAATCTGTCAAGCAAAATAATATGGGGTTTCATACTAAATGGTTAATTTTTCTACTTAGTGATGTAAACAAATATCATCTATTGCCTATTGGTATAAATTCTATCAAAAAACTAGTTAAATGACTTTTGCTGCTTTAAGTATTACAATTTATTTAAATAAACTTTACTAATTATTATTATTTATCAAAAATATGTTTCTAGCATATCATACGAAATTTGGTCTAAAACTCCAATTGGAATATCTCTAGGTGAATATTTTAGCTAATTAAAGAAATAAAAAGTAAAGGAATTTGTTTAATAAGAACTAGGTGTTTTGTCCGCACATGTATACATAATTCTTTTTACAAATATTTATTAGTTTGTGATTTGTTTATTCAAAAACCAACATATTTAATTATTAGTTATGTTTCCAAACATTTTAATGACAATACTCACATACCAACATATTTAATGACAATACTCACATATCATAAATATTTTAAAAATACATTTATACAAATGTTTTTGTTTGATTCCTATTTAATTATAATTTTTATATCTTTATTTTTAATTTTCATATTAGAAAATATATATTTAGGATAATAAGATAATTCATAAGAATTATCTTATATTATAAAAATAATATTATTAATATATATTTAATTATATAATAAATTATTAAAAATATAACAAATAATAAAATTATTTAAAACCATGGAAAGTGACAAATTAGCAAATATACTTCTCAAATAATATTATAAAATAATATTATAGATTCATAATCCTCCTCTTTCAGTTTCTGTCAACTTTCCTTATGTCCTAGATCTTCAAATGAGCTTGCGGTCTTTATAGCAAAAGCCTATCATTGTAATGAAAACCATGTATTGGCCACTTCGTCTAAGTTAATGAATTAAGACATGTTGCGCAAAAAAAAAAAAAAAAAAAAGAACTCGCTTGTGCAGAGAGTAATGGAAAGTACTACTAATCAGATTCGATTGATTGACAAATGACAAATTAACTATCTAGCCAGCCTGTATGTACCCAAACCCAAGTGTGACCAAATTCACCACGTTCTTCAACGGGTTTAATAATAAAACACTCAACCCCCAAAACAAAAACAAAAATATTAATTAAGAAAAATAAATACTCAATATTCAACACGATGGACCGTCGGAAAAAAACCGGAGCCGCTTCAGGAAAAAATCATGCCGGAAACCGCCGTGAGTAGCGGCTGCAGAATGCAACTCATGGGAAACCAAGCCATTAATAAGCTCAACATGCTGAACTCCATTTCCATCCCCAAGCATACCGACAACGACACGGCCATGTGGTTTTGATTTCCGACGACCGGCGCCGACAGGAACGTTGCGGAGTGCGCCACCAGCAGTCCAGTAACGGTGGCAGCTTTTGCAAAAGTGTCGAGGCTGATTAGTGTTGTAGTTGTTGAAGTAACAAAACTTTGTCTCCATGCTTTTGCATCTCGGACATGCTATGATCTTGTCCGGACGCTTCTCCACCGTCAGATCAAATGCTGATGGTGATCTGATGGCCGGGTCTGACTGTTGTTTCTCTTCTTCGTTTTTGATTTTGTTAGTGATATTGACGTTACATGCAATGGTTTTGCCAAAGAGTTTGATCCCTTGTGAATCTTGTGTCGCCATGATAATGTGGAGAGAGAGGTGAAGACAGCTGGTGGAAAGTCTGTTGCAGCTAAGAAAGAGTAAGGACTAGGGTGAATTGGCCTATAATCCATAAAGAATTTGGATATTAGGAATATGCCATGGTTTTGGGAGAAAAATAGTGAGAGGGAGAAGGAGAGATAAGAGAGAAAAAGGGTAGATAGTTAATTTAGGGGTTTAGTTTGTATATGGGATGCAAATACTCTAAGGACTAAGGACAATTATAGGAAGATGATATAACTTCGTCATTAGGATTGGAGAAGAAAAATAGATAAAAGATAATGGAGAGTGGGGTTTAAATATTTATTATTTAAAAGCCTAAAGCATATATTAAGCGCATTCATCGCTTTGTTGAAACTTTATTTATTGGTATACGTAAACTATGAAGCTACTAATTTTTTTGTTTTAGATCATTTTGAATGGGAGGTTCTTACTACGGAGTTCTTAAAGAAATATAAGAAACGTTTAATTTTTTTAATTAAAAGTTAAGAGATAAGTTAAGAGATGAGTTAAAAGATGAGTTCTTATATTCTGCTAAGAATCCCACCGTGAGATCTCCTCATTAGATATGGTCTTACACTAGTTTTAATGTAAACCCAAAGCCTTAAATACGTGAATAAGTCTTACTTCAAAAGTTTTATCAACATGTTTTCCTTTTTTAGTCAACTTAAGACTCCAAATGTTGATCGTCCGATAATATTAACAAAAATCTCTACGTATACTTAAATATCTACATGTTTTTATTATTATTTAATCGCATCATAGTTGTTTCATAATTGTCATGTATGTTACCATTCGAACCCTTACTCTATTTAATGAAATATGAATGGATATACAATTAATCAGTAACAATTTTAGACCAGTGGATGGTTCAACAGTTGCACATGATCCAACCAAAGTTAGTATAACTTATTTGAAAGAGATGGTAAATCCACGATTATCCACTGTATCTGAATTTGACTGTGGTTTGTTCATAGATTATCAACGAAATATAAATATATATCCAATTTTTTCTCTCTTTGTAGATCCTTTTTAAATGTTAAAAAGTCAAAACTCATGAAGGAACAAGGAAGTAAATAACGAATTGTCATAATGAAAAGAAAATAATGTGGTGTGACTTTTGCTGCCTAATAATTTCTGATTTGATTATATAATTTCACAGTACACGAGTTACGAGTTCCACTTTTCTAGCACTTTGGATAATCTACTAGTATTTGTTCACAAATAAAAAAGTCTACTATTGTCATTAGGTTTGCAGAAATGCAAGTTTCTAGACATCTTAAAAGTCTTACCCCATTCATATTTTATTTTCAAAGAATTGGATGTGTCATGTGTGTATATGAACAGACCGAGATAATAACCTAATGATTTTTAGGAATGATTTTGTTGAATTACTGAATTCGATTTTAGATTTTGAATGTGCCCTAAAGAGGGGTAAGAGCTTTTTGAGAGACTCACGCATTGTTACCATGGAGCTTCTTGACAAAGTCCGAAGTGGTAGGTGTGCAACTATGATTCATGATTTGTTCACAGCGGATTATATTGCCAACAACTGGATAGATGTAGATTCAGTCGAGGTAGAAAAACATGGACCATAGAGATTTTTCTTTCCAAAATAAAATAACAATATGACTCAAAGTAAATGACTAAAAAAGAGAAAAGAAAGAAAGAATATGGCTCGATGCAATTCGTTAAAGTGGTTTTACACATTTGAGATTATACATGTAAAGCTCATAAGGTACTACCATTTTTTACGGACTCTTTAATAACTTCAACTTTTATCATTCACAAATCACACCTTTACGACTAAAAACTTGTATCGCTTTGCGTTACCATTAGTATCCATCGTTCAATTAATCTAATGTACATAACTTTTTTCTTCTATAAAAGTGAACTTTTAGAAAGTAATATAAACAAGAATAGAATCTTTATTCTTTAGTGCATCGAGTCAAGTGTCCAACTTTTAACTTAAGCTTTAACAACACAAAGCGAACTCTATGGCGTGGGGTTTCGAGTACTTGTATATTATTAGCCCAGATCTCAGTTTGCTAACTTCGTAGTAGTATTGCTGACATAATGGTTTAAAATGTAAATTCATTTACAAACGAAACCTAGACAAAGGAAAGTAAACCAACAAGTTTTAATATTCCGATGCCCGTTTTTGGGTCGCATATATATAAACCAATAAGTTTTGCACAAGTGCAGGTCTATTCTTTAATATTTATAAAGTATTGACACTGAAATTTCTGCGTTGTTCACTGAGTTTAATCCGGTTTGCTTCGACAAATATTAACAGGACAGCAAACACTAGACCCCTTATGTACGACCTATTAATCAAAGAGATCAAAATGGAAACTATATCCTAATCCCATGTCGTTATCCAAACACGGTTGAGTAGAAGACACTTTTTGTTCCCAAACTGTATTAAGGTGATTGACGTTAATTCTCCAGGGATTAAAACAATTATATTGACATATCGTATGCATAAATATTAGAGAAATCTCCTAGAATAGATATAATTTTTGTTTGTCATAAATATATAGATCTTAAAAATAAAAATGATTTATATTTCTAACAAAAACTTTTTTTATGTCTATTTTTTAAAAAATTCTTATTTTTTATGCATACGATATGTTAATATAATTGTTTTAGTCCCTCGAGAATTAATGTCAATCATCTTAAAAATAAAAATGATATAAATAGACTTGAATATTTTATCCAAAATAAATAAATACACACTTATACCATTTGGATTAAGAGCATTTCCAATGTAAAACTCTATTTTTTCTTCTAAAATAAAGTAAAATGGATTATCAAATAAAATTGTTTCAATCCCACTCTATTTATAATTCCATAATAGAGTAATGAACAAACAAATAATAGATTACTCAATTTGCAGTAAATCTCATTATAGAATAATAAATGTAGTAAGTTTGAAGCATCTTTTACTCCATAATCAATTTTACTCTATTTTGAAATAAAAAATAGAGTTGAATTAGATATTCTCTAACTAATTCTAGACATTTTTGTTTAGAGTTGAAGAGTGAAATTTTGTGATAGGATTTCAAAACCTTTTAAAAAGGAAAAACTTAAGTTTTTTAAAATAAAAATTGATGTTTTAGTTATTTCAGTTTTTGAGATTATTTCAGTTTTTGAGGTCTATTATCGTGATAAAACACTTAAAATGTCAGATAATTGCCCTAAAAATTATATTCACTTTAAGGTGATTAAATATTATAATCAGCATCTCTTATAAATAAATATAATTGGGCTGGATCTTTTATTACGATGGGCCTTTTAGTGTTTGGGCCATGAGCCTTTATGTTATCATAATGCAATTTTCCGGCGAGTTCATAGACTCGACCAGATCAACGCCTACGACCAAAACAAGAGCGGTCAGAAGAAAGAGATCAGCTTTATACACAAGTAAGTTCATAGATTCATGTCTTGTTCTCAAAATCAAATCTTCTTTTATCAATAATTCATACGGAATAATCCTTTTAGTTACGGAATCAAGAACTTGGAATCGTGATTTGCTCATCACTAATCGATTCTGGCTCATTTGGATCATAAAAGATGATAACTTTCCTATATATTAGGGATTTAAATTACGTGTCTAGGGTTCATGAATCTAATATGGAAACTTCTTTGTGATGCAGATTTTGAAGATGGGCAACACTTCCTCGATGCTGACTCAATACGACATTGAAGAAGTTCAGAGCCATTGCCAGGATCTATGTCAGATTCTCTCTTTCTCTCTGTCTCTTGTATTATGTTTGGTACAAATTTTGAGACTTGTGTTTTGTTTCTTGTTTAGTTGAGCAGCAGGAGATACTCTCTTTATATCAGAGGTTTTGCCAGTTAGATCGAAACGCAAAGGGGTTTATATCTTCTGATGAGTTTCTCTCTGTCCCTGAGTTCGCTATGAACCCACTCTCACAGAGGCTGCTTAAGATGGTTGATGGTTTGAACTTTAAGGACTTTGTCGCTTTCTTGTCTGCTTTCAGTGCCAAGGCTAGTCTAAGACAAAAGGTTAAACGTAAGTGTACATATAATAGTCTAAGCTATCATGGAAGTGTTACTTTATGATCTTGTATATCTATTAATCATCGGACTTTCTTGTATTTAGTGATCTTTCAAGTGTATGATTCTGACGGCAACGGGAAGGTCTCCTCTAAAGATATCATGGAAGTGTTGAGGGACTTGTCTGGTACATTCATGTCTGATGAGCAAAGAGAGGTATATATAGAAAGTCATTCACCTTAAAAGTATACCATATGTTCACGTTTTGAAAAATGTGATTCCACTGCTTAACAATTCATCAAGATTTAACTTTTTGAACAGTTACTACACTAGATTTTAGTATGATCATGAACATTGTATAAACTCAGCCAAAAAAACTGTTTTGACCACCATGTGTCTTTTGTTTATACTATCGTGGTGTAGCAAGTACTGAGCCAGGTTTTGAAGGAAGCAGGTTACACAAATGACTCTTACTTAACACTGGAAGATTTCATTAAGGTATATACGTATATGTAGACATAATGTACTGTCTTCTTCAGACCATTTTTTTGTGGATTCTGATGCTGCATCTTCTTTCTTGAATCTCGAATGTCACAGGTCTTTGGGAGTTGTAAACCGGAGATGGACGTTGAAATTCCTGTGGATTAAGGTTTTTATGAGATCACATATGGTCAAAGCTGAAAATCTCCTCATGTATTTGTCCAGTTTGTTAGTAGAATAATCCCTTGTTGATTTTGATCAAAATACCATCGCTTGTTTTTGTCAGTCCCAAAACTGACTTCAGCTATATGTACGCGAATAACTTTCATCTTAAAAGCATTTTTATATTTGATTTAATTGAATGAATTGGTGTGTTTTATTAGTGAGTTGCACACTCAGTTGTCTAATATCACTATGTCCCATCTCCATCATTGCCTTAGACCACACGTCTCGAGTTGAATTGATGTTATGATTCAAATTTCAAAAGAAAGCTGTTATATATATTAAAGGACTATGTTTTCCTAACCGGGTCAACCCGGATGGTGAGTTAGGAGATTCGGGTCACAAACTCCACAAGCATCTCTCTCGTCTTCTCTCTCAAGCAATTATTTGCATACGAATAAAAAATTAGGGTTGCGGATTCCAAATCAGCATATCCATGGAAGAGGTTACAGATATAGTGAACAACATGGCGGTCGCTTCCCAGAAGAAGAACAGGATTCGAGTTTCCAACACCAAGAAACCATTGTTCTTCTTTGTCAATCTCGCCAAGGTTCACTCTTTATTTCTTTTTTTGTTTCAATTGCTATGATGTGATTGATGATGTGATTATGTGTGAAAATATGTATGTTACTTTCTTTGGTTGTGTCTCATGTCAAAAGGTTTTAGTTTTGATTGGTCAGGTTATTATTATTACTCATGTTCTAGGTTCTGTAATTGGGTATCGTCAGAGAGATTAATATAACAATAGTTTTGATTGGTCTGGTTATTATTACATGTTCTAGGTTCTGTAACTGAGTGTTGTCAGAGAGGGAGAGATTGATTGTAACCTTTGGTTTTGTTTCAGAGGTATATGCAGCAGTACAATGATGTGGAATTGTCTGCCCTTGGGATGGGTATGCATCTGCTTAATCTCCCTCTCTCTCCTATACATTCTTCGTCTGTATTATATACTGGACTGTAATAGCCTTTGTACTGATTAAATGTTTCACCAACATGAAAATGTGCAGCCATTGCAAACGTTGTTACAGTCGCTGAAATACTCAAGAACAATGGTTTTGCTGTTGAGAAGAGTTAAGTATCTTTATTATATTGTGTCTGAATTCAGCATTTTTTTTTATATTAGAAATTTGAGGGTTTTGGAAACTAACCTTTGTCTGAAGAGGACAATGGTTATAGAGATCATGACGTCAACGGTGAGTATTAAGGATGACTCAAGGGGACGCTCTGTGCCGAAAGCTAAGGTGTTTTTTAATACGAGAATACTGTGATTGTCATGTATCCCTTTCTTCTTGCTTTTTATCAGTTTTTTTTTTATATCATTTTTTGATATTGTAGATGGAAATTACGCTTGGGAAGTCAGAGAAGTTTGATGAACTAATGGTTGCAGTTGATGAAGAAACAGAAGCAGCAGAGGCTCAGGTGCAGAGCTGAACATAGTTTTTTTTTTATGTCTTGGGTTTCATGGTCTTCTCTCTTGATGCTTATATTATATTTTGGCCTTTTTTTTCCTTAATTTTTTGGGTGAATGTGAAATGTTATCTTGGATGCTTTGTTGTATGTGTGAACATTTTACAATATGAAGATTGAAGATCATAGCAAACTATATGGTTTCTTGTAATGTGAGCCTCACAACACCAAGTTAGTTTTGCAGCTACTTCCATATTATGTCAGTTACTTTACCTAGCTAATAAGAAAAACATTTGTTCAAACTAAATGCTATTGAACATTTGTAGCTTAACCATTTCCTTCCAGGTTCTTCAACTATTAAAGGTCACCTACACTACAAGACAGTACCTACAGGTAACATTTACACATTTCAGTTGATCATATAGTCTCTCTGATGAAGCATGAATATTAGTATGAACAAGACAGTTTTCTTTAGGGAAAGGCCGAGAAAGAAATTTCATTACGCTCATCTCTGTTTTAGAGATACATCATAGTACAAACAACACATTCCTATCAGCAATCAACGTAAAACTAGCCTTATAAATCGCCAGCAAAAAACCGTATAACTGCCTTAAGATCTCACTCTATTTCCTTCTCTGATCTTCCTATCACTCTTATTACAACTCTCACTTTCATATATACATTATCATCATCGCAGAACAATTAAAATCAAATTAAATGGTATAGTAACAAAGAATGTTTCTATAGTAATAATACCTTCTCTTGTTATGTCTTCCTCTCTCGGCCATCCGTTTTCTTAACAAAGTCTCTCTTCAACTTCATCTGCTTGGTAATGCATCAGTTTCTCAAGCTGTGGTCTAAGTTCCTTGTTGCAAAACTCTTCATACTCTTCTATAAACCCTCCTTTCTTCTTCACTTCAACCACCACAAGAGACGATGTCAACTCAAAGATCTCAACCTTAATAGTCAACGGTCCTTTAGCTCCCTCTCTACAACCCTCTAGCCTCACACTCCAATCCTTCTTCCTCACTGTAAAGTTAGCCACTCTCCCAATCTCTTCTAGCTTCGAAATGATCTTTGCAACAGGAGCAGCAGATACAAACCTAGCTCCTTGTCCACCTTCTTCAAACAAACCGGAAAGATCAAACCCGGTAGAGAATGATATGATATCAAATGCGTTTAGACTCGCCGGTCTAGGCATTGAACCAATCCTTTTGATATCAAACTCCAAATCACCCTCTGAAGATATAGATGATCTCCCTGATGACAATGATGATGAATCGTCTTCATCATCATTATCATCATCATCCACTCTACATAACTTATCATTTTCAATATAGAATTTTACATCTTTAAAACCTTTCTTGAACCATCTATTCTCCATGATCTCTGGTATAGTGATTCTAGTATCCGGATTCGTGTCTAGAATCCTACTCATAAGCCTTTTAAGCTCAGGAGAAAACCAATTAGGACAATGAAACTGTCCTTTATATATCTTCTTATACATAACCAAAACGTTCTTATCATCAAACGGTAGATAACCAGCCATCAACACAAACAAGATCACTCCACAAGACCAAACATCAGCTTTAGCAGCATCATAACCCTTTCTTGTCAGAACCTCTGGAGCCAAATACTCCGGGGTCCCACAAAACGTTTGACAGATTCTATCTTGCAATAACTGATCAGACACGACGCTGAGGCCAAAGTCAGAGACCTTAACATTCCCTTCATCATCCAAAAGAAGATTCTCTAGCTTGAGGTCACGGTGGTAAACACCGCGGCTGTGGCAGAAGGAAACAGATGAGATCAGCTGCTGGAAGTATCTCCGGGCGGTTGATTCTCTAAGCCGGCCTCTAGCAACTTTCTCGTAAAGCTCACCGCCTCGTACGTACTCCATGACGATGTAGATCTTTGTCTTCGTGGCCATGACTTCGAGGAGGTGGACAATGTAAGGGTGGCGAACGCGGCGGAGGATGGAGATCTCTCGTTTTATGTGACCAGCCATTCCGCTCTTCACGATCTTCTCCTTGTCGATGACTTTGATGGCGACGTTCTCACCGTTTTTAATGTTTCGAGCTAAGTAGACTTTGGCGAAGCTTCCTTGGCCAAGAAGCTTTCCTATTTCGTACTTGTCCATGAGAATAGTGCCTTGTGTTGTTTTAGGGCTTCTAGGGCTCTCTGGAGTGGTCTCTTTCTTCATGTCTTGTGTCACGATTCGACCGAGAAGGCCGGCCATGAAGTGTAGTGGCTTTTGGCCGGAGATAGGGAGAAGTGGCATCGCCGGAGATAGGACTTGAGCCATCGGTGGGCTTAGTCTTTACAAGAAAACGAACCAAACGAAAATAAGATATGGTTGGGTTGTTTTGTCTTGGTGGTAATGGTGTCTTAACAATGGCTATTTCGTGTTCGTTTTATAACAGTTTTCGAGTTGAGATTGTTGTATGTTTTTAATTTTTAAAAAGATTATTTTATGTTTAATAATATTCTGAAAAAGTCTATCCCATTTACTTTTATTAATTTATTGCCAGCAGATGAACACGTAGGATGGATTATCGAAATTATTTTAGAGAGATATTATAAACTAATATGGTTTATCCAATACGCAAAGTTGCCAAGTCAAATGTACAATACATATCTGATTTCCCAAGGGATAGATAAAAGAGTTGACTTATCAAACCTGAGTGGTTGTGATCGATAAGCAGATCATCATAGATCGTTAGGATGTCGTCACACATCTATACTCCCCCCAGCACATATTGGTAATAATCTTAAAGAAAGATTTGTGGAGTGGATTTGTGGGAACCACTTGTGTTGCTGAGACGATGCTGACTGTAAGTTGTCGACTTCACGTTGCCTGACAGAACCAAAAGCTACAAAAGGACACCAAATAGCAATGTTCTTTTTTGAACTGGAAATTCTATAAGTAATTACCAAGGACCAAATAGCAATTATGAAATCGTAATTCGTAATATCTCATATATGTTGTGCAAGTGTAACTAATACTAATTTGAATTTTAGAGTTGGCTATTTTTACCGTCCTGAACTTTTTTTGTTCTCAACAAAAAAAAAAAAAATCTTTAAAATTATATATTGCCTTAACTCTGCCTCTTTGGAATATTAGTTTATGTTAGATTTAGCCACTATGTCGTAGTCAGATGTTATCGTCCTGAACTTTATCCTGAAATTGTCGTGAAGATGGATGGATAATTATCAATTGCCAACTGGTCATATATTACTCTTAATAATATTTTTGAATGTTTCATCGCAATATAATAATGATGGTCCAATATACTTTTAGTAGGAAAAAACAGAATATATGAAATAGAAACATACATATATAATCTATATATATAAAGAAATGTTCACTCCCTCCTTAATAGGACACGTCATCAATTACTCAGTTGTGGGCATGACACGTGTCCCATAATTTAAAACTATGCGTTTCATTAAGTAACGAACGAAAATTGTTGGGCTTCGTTGAGTTTGGTCGAGTGACCCAGCCCAATGGCGAGCAACTCTAATCTTTTCTCCCTGGTCAGATCAGAAATTTAGGGATCGGCTAAAGAATTTTTCCGCCATTTGACGGACGTAGTTGTTGAGGTCGACGTCCATCCGGTTGAAGTGTTTCGATTGCACCGGTTGAGATTCTTCTCCATCAGTCGAGACGTTTCCGTTTACAGATTCATCACATGTAACCCCTTCTTAAATCTAGCTTCCAATGTGAGTTTCCTTTCTGTAAGGCGGTTTCACTTCAAGTATAAACAGGTAAGTCTTCCTCCTCTCAAACCCATCTACTCGATCTTTTGAACAACAAAGTAAACTTATTTCCTGAGAAATGGCCAGATTGAAAGTTCTTCTTTCTGATTTTTGAAGTCATATAGATGTTCATCAACCATTGAGGTTAGCTTGATGCGGTTTTGGGAGGCCAGGAATGCCAAGCAAAATCTCAAACCGAGAAAGATGAAGAATTGAGACTTATAAGATCGTTCGTAAAAAAATTGCAGTACGCTCTTTTTCAGATTTTGCAATTGTTCTTCAATAATATTTTCCTCACAATTCGCCAATTTTCTTTTAAGCTTCTAACTAAAAGAAAACTTTGTATTATTGTAGTTAATGTGAGCTCCTTTGGTAACTCAAAGGTTTAATTGAGTACGTGTGTAGCATGCACTAGAGCGAGATTGAGAATGACTGAGTAAGCGGCAGAGAGCAACGCAGCACCAGGCGGAGACAAACGATGAGAGCAGCTCATCGGAAACGACGAAGAAAGTAGTGGAGAGCAACAGAGCAAGGGCGGAGAGCGTTGAGATGGAGTAAGTGACGGAAAGATTGAGATTGACAGCTATTGAATAGTCAACATAAAGTGTTATGAGAGATTGCCAAGGCAATGTTGCAGTTCAATCTGGCCAAACGGAGGTTGACAGACTCCCACACACGAAAAATTTATAAGAGCTGGAAAAAAGATTTTGGTTTGTTTTTGTACAAAAAGGATTGTGTTTAAGTTGATTTTCTTTTGCAAGCATTAGATTTGTGCTTTCAAAGTTTCTTAAATGGACATGACTACATAACTTCTCATGAATGTGTTGATTCCTACGTGTCTTAACACCATCAGGTATATGGTTGCAGATTTTCTTTCCACAGAAAATAAGAGTTTTCCAGGTCATAAAGCTGGCAAGAACAAAAGTAAAATTCATCTATTAAGATGTGTTTGTACATATATTCACATGTAATAACTTCAATTCCAAATATAAGACTTCTCATTGTATACTCCAAACGTCATATCTACTATTTATTCAACTATTCCTATAACTTTTTGTAATCTATTACAGCTATACATGCAGCAATTTTGGAACAGAACCTTGAGAAATGACGTGTGGAGAATTGTCGGCTATGTAATTTATACTAGAGATGGTACACTTTGAGCAGACCTGATCCAAAAATCTGATTTGTTTTAAATGGTCATTACATAACACGAATATAAATACTCAAAAGGCTTGAGGAAAAAACTTCATCAAGTGGTTGTTTACATATCAAGATAAACAACAAAGATATCACTTAAATAACTACTGTTTAAGTTATTCACTACATGAAAAATTAAATTCAAGCGATTACAAATTGTATGTAAGGATAAAGTATAATGTATATTTGTGATAAATATTTCAGTCACATGAATTGCTGCATTTTTCTAATAAACTAAATTAATAATTATTACAAAATATGTATCATGTAACCTTTAGTATACTTTTATATAATATTTAATTTTAAGATTTTTTTTTTTAAAAAAATGCATTATATTTTACTCGACAAAGTAAAATACTGGAAAAGTAATAAACAATCTATACTAATACAAAAAAAAATATGAACCAGCATTTCCGTTTATAATAAAAATAATGATTCCTAATAATAAAAGATAATATAATATATAAAAAGATATTTCACACATATATAAATAAAAGTAACACATATAAATTTTAAATAATATCTCACGCATAACGCATAACAATCCTAGAATCAAGTTGTGTCAAATATATTAAGAAAATATCACATAAATAATTTTATAATTATTTTTACATTTAATTAAAAAAAATTGTAACAGTAATATATTGTAAATTTTAAATTTAGTGATTGTAAAAGATTTAAAATATATATTATGAAAACTAATCAGTAACATTTATTTCACAAATCATAATCATTATCCAGATAGCATGGTTTATTTGATTTTAAAATATAATAAATATAAATTAATAACAAACATGTATATTATTTGGGTCAAATATATTAATTAAATATATGATATTACATACAAAAATCTATAATTAATTATATATTTTAGCTCTAACAAAAAGCTACTGTAAAACTAACTTTAGTAAAAAAAATAATATAATCCAATAAAATATATAAAATTAAATAAAATAAAAAATATATGACTACAAGATTATTTTTTTCTACTAAAAAATGAATGAAAAAAAAATTAATCTTACTGATTTTTTTTGTTATCCAACTCCAAAAAAATCACAAGAAATGAATGAAAACCAAAAATCACAAGAAATGAATGAAAACCACATCTAATTATTAATTTAAAACTAAAACATAGTTTATTTAACAAAATAAAATCATTATGACCTTTTAAAAAATAACAAGTAGCATTCATGTTTTTAAAAATCATAGGCAATTATTCAAATAACATGGTTTATTCATATTTTTCAAAAAAGTATAAGCAATTATTCTGATAATATAGTTTATTCAAACACAATAACATATACACAATTTATCCAATATGTCTGTTTAAAATAATATCATTAATATTCAAAATTTACTTTGATTATTTAAATTAATTACTGAATTGATTTCCGCCCGTAGGGCGGGCTTACCCTAGTAGAATAAAATAACAGTGTTTACTGCATTAATACTTTTTATCAACAACATCAACATACGTTATATTCAAATTTGCATATATAATATACAAACTATTAGAGTTTTATTGTTGCATTAACTTGGAAACTAATTAAAAAGCAAACATACTATTTATTTACCCTAAGTAGCGTTAACTAGAGCTTAGACATCAAGAACGCAAAAGTAACACAGAGATATGAATGGTGAATTTTTCCTGGTAATCTAGAAATTTTGAACAGAAGTCCAGACTAATATATATCTAAAACGACTCTCATTAAAAAAAGTTCTACCTCGTAATATTTCCAGAAAAGCTTATGCTAAAATTTATATTTTAAAACTCTTATGCTCAAAGCCTGAAATGCAAGCACGACGAAGGATTATTCCGTTTCATGTAAATATTGTAATAAGAAAATACATAAATGAATATAACCGCATGACAGAAGAGCAAAAGATCGATGTGAAGACCACGTTAAGATACTACAGTACATTTCTATGGATAATGCTTATCTTTGTGTATTACATAGAAATAAAATAAGTTATCTACAACAATTAAGCAAGTGTTTAACTGTCGTAATTAGGAATGTGTAAGAAGCAAAAGAAAAACATGTAATGAAGAATTATGTAAGTGAATTTTAGTGATGGTCAAGAATGTTATCCTTTCGAGAGCACGTCAAATTGCATTCATCGAGCATGACCCACGCATACTAAATAAGCCACGCGTGCCATTTACATTACATTACATGCAGTTAACCATACAAAAATAGATAAACTACAACAAGAGTATCATCATACGAGTAATCACAGTATACCTAAACTTGATACGTTATTTGTGGGGAAAAGTAGCCATTTTTGCGTTTCCTAGATCATGTGTTGACTGTTGCTTTTACAAAACAATATCAGTTTTGTAGGCGCATTCAATTTTAAGAGACCTCTTTTTATTTTTTATTCTGTTGTTTTTCTTTCTCACTGCTTCGACTT